AATTTCCTCCTACGACTTCGGTTGTTGTTCGGGATACAGTTAAGGTTTTAACAAAGTTCGAGCGAATACATAATTAGCAAAAAAAGTTAAAATAAAGTGATTAAACAAAAATTATTACAAATATCGTAAATAACAGTTCACAAATGCATATATAGAGATATTTTTTGAAATAGGGGGAAATGGTCTTCACAATTTGAAATCGATCGAACACACTGTCTTGATACACTCGTATAAACGCGCGCCATCTATCGTGGGTTAAATAGATAAATATTTAAAATTAGTGGTTAGCTAGTAGTACTTGAAATCATACGCGGCTATCATAACATGAATATCCTTTTTTTTCCCTTTCTTTAGCTCCTTCTGCTTCACGTACTTCATTTTAAAGGCGAGCTTGCCACAAACTTTGATTCTTTTGATGGAAGTGCAGTTCTCATTTGCATCATCAAACTGATTGTAGTGTAACTATATATTCCGCGTTAGGTTATCATTAAATTTTTCAATAAATGAAATTTTTAATAGTAATTTATATAAATGTATAAGCCTGTAAAAGGCCTTCTTTTTAGTGCTCACAGGGCCGAAAGACTTTTTCTTTTTTTTTAAATCTCTTTCCTCCCTCTGGGCACTGGGGACCTCTTTTAAGAGGCCCGTACAGGTCCACAGTGGGGTGACGGGTGGTGAGGGCCGAACAGACCACCCGTCCGGATTCGATCCCGGGTCCCCCAAAGCGGTAGGGTACCACTTTGACTTCTCGGCCATCCGGCCGTCAAAGGGCCGGAAGGCTACAAAAATATGTTGTTTTAGTAATTATTACAGAATTTACGAAATTATAATTTATTAATATATTAATAATAAAGTACTTCTATTTTAAAATAATTCAACTAAAATATTTAATATTTTGAATTTAATTTTATTTGTTTATTTTTTAAAATTCGGAACAACGTAAAAACTGAGGTGGCGCTTTAGACCAAAAGTTTATCAGCTGATTGTGAAGTTTCACGTGGGATTATTATCTAATGGATTTTAAAGTTTTACAGATACAATAATTAGTGTTATGGAGGTTTTATTTGGCATTGCGTTCTTTATTGTCATAATTACGCTATGCGCTCTCGCTTTCGTATATTTTACTTTTCGCGAATTGCCCGTATTTCTCGACGAGGTAAGACATTTGAATTATAAAAGTGATCAATAAATATGAATCGTTAAATATGTATGTATGAAGATAATTAGATATTAATTAATAATTGCGTGGACTATTTTTATATTTTTCTTTAAAGTTCGTGTAATAATTATTATTGTACGAGATTTTAAGGAAAATGATTAAAAAAAATTCTGTAATTATTACTTTACCTTCAATTTACTTTTTCTCTTTGTTATATTATTTAATTTATTATGTTAATTTATTAGATTTGTAAATAATAANAAATTTTAAAAAATGCAAAATAATTCATAAAATATCAAAATACTTGAAATATCAATATTGTATTGAATCAGCTTGTTTACATTGTAGAATTCAATGAACTGCTTATGTAATTTATGACAGCAGTTGTAACATTTCAGCCTTTACAATAACTTTTATTTATTTTTACTTTTTTTTCAGATCTTGCTTCAAATATATATAACTAAAAGAGGGAAGTATTATAATTAGAAATCCAAACTATAGATTATAACTATATTATCCTTCAATAAATTAGATTGTGGAACAATAAAGTTAATTAAAAATTTACCAACTGCAATCTCAGTTTTATTGCAACTTTATTTCTTAATATATGCATGATTTGCTTCCGATGTCAGTTGTCAGCTTCTCTATTAGTATCTATTTTATTTTCATATTTGATTAGTCATTATAGTTCTAAATTTATACTGTATTTACATTTCATTTATCATTTATTTATGAGAAAGTTTTTAAAATACAATTACGTAAAGGTATATAAATTAATTAAGATAATTAGCAAGTCTAAAAAACTATTAAAAAATGAATTATAGAAATGAACAGTGATTCAGAAAACAAATAAATAAAGTAAACAAAGAGCAAAATGAATCTTAGTGATTTATGGTAAAATCTTTAATGAACTTAGAATGCATAGTTTATTAAATTGTGTTTATTAGTCATTATATAAAGAATTTCCTTCTGAATATATTTATGTTTTAAAGGAAATTCCTTTAATAACTTCCTTTGAAGATAGATGTATCATAAACTGTTGTATATATAAATTATTTATGATATTGGACAAACTGATGTATAATACTTTGACACAGAATAGATATAATACTTTGTGTCAAATGGTGAAGTGTGTCGTCGAATATATCGCAATCATTAAATACAAAATTATAATTTGTGAGAAAAATTATCAATTATATAATTCAAAAACATGGTTTTCAACTATGACTGATTAAACTATTCAAAATATAAACTATGATTAATAATATACAGTATATTATAATTAATATCAATACTATAATTAATAATTTTTAATTACTTTATTAATAAGCATTTAATTTTATTATTAAAAAATTGGTTTTCATTTGTAAATCTATAATGTTGATATATGTGAAAAAGTGCCAGCATATCAAATTTATGAGAAACATATTTAGAAAGGATCTTTTAAGTAAAGTTAAACTATAATTAATTTCCCTGTTATAATAAAATTTGAATTAAGGCAGAAAATGGTAAGAATGCATTTTCAGGAGCTGAGTAGACCTTGGCCCATCCACTTTTCTCTGCTGTAAATCAAAGAAGCTTAACAGGTAAACCATAACCACAAAGCGTGTATGTATGTATAGCATAAACAAGTTATATTTCTATTTATGTTTCTATGTGAGAAAAAATGTAGTGTTTGTCTCAGAGCCTAATAAATAGATAAATTTAATTTAATATCACTTTTTCCAACTATAAAGCCAGTGCTGGCCCCCAAAAAGGCTTTTTTCATAACTTTATTTGTAAATCCTATCTAGACTAATAACAATAGTAAAATATAATTACCAGTGTATATATATTATATTATGTTTTTAATATAATGAATTATAATAATAAATGTGAGGATGTTTCAAATAATTTGACTCAGTCTTTATTATTTTTATATTGAATGTCATGATGATGTGATTTAAAATGAAACCTACTATTATTTTATTTGGATAAGTTTTTATAATATTAAATTAAACTAAGGATGATTATAATGTCTTTCTAATATTAAAACATACTAGTTAATTGTTCTTTTTTGAATAAACAATTTATCTTTTGTTATTTTTCAACAATTATTTGTTAATTTATGAATTTTTTTTTATTTCATAATTTATGCATTACAATGACATTAAGTTGAATTCACATAGAAGCACTTTAGAATTAAACATTTATACATGAATATTTCAAAAAGCAAGGAATTTCTGAAAAATAAATGCTTATAAATGTAATATATGCATTAATATTTTATTACTATTTGCATATTACATAGATAACAAAGAACAGCCCTTTTATTGGAAAAAGATAAAGCAGTTTAATAGATAATTTTCAATTCAAGGAAAATATCTCATTAATTACATATGCATTAAGGATTTAATAATTGAATGTTCTAAATTTATCCAAATAATAATTTTTTAAAATTAAATTCTTTTAATCAATAATACTTGAAAAATCATAATATTAAGCTTTTAGTCTTAATACAATTATTAATAATATTCTGTAACATAATTTAGTATTAATATAATAGAGTATTATACTCTATTATATTACTATTATCTTAATAAACATAAATAATACATTGATAGATATATTCTAAGTTATGTAAATTTGTATAATATAAAGTGATCAGATCCTGAAATGTAAGAAGCATAACATTAGGCTGGGTACATCAGTGTGACATCAGACAAGTCGTGTGACTTGTCTGATTTCACACAACCTAATGATGAAATGAAATGATAGAAAGCTAGAAAACTGAAGATCATGGTTCATGATCCTCAGTTTTCTGGCTTTCTTACATCATTGATAATAGATGTTAAAATCAAACATTTTACTTACCATATACTCTTGTTTACAAAATAATAATATACAACAATAGTAAAGAAGAACTAATAGTTTTGTCTATTATTACTGCTCTGAGTGTATCTTTGTGTATTTTAACTGCTATTTTTACTGTTTCACCTGTTAAATGTAACAGAGGGAAAGTATGGCAATTGGTCAAAAAATGACCCCAAGAGTTTTACATTTTTGGACTAAGGACCTTAAAACAACAAGAAATGCAAAAAAATTGGAGGGTTCTGTGTGTATGAATGTTAGTGTGTGTGTGGGTATGGCACAATTTTGTTCACTCTCTTTGAAGCTTAATAACTCCTATACTTTTTGTCAAAAATTTCTGAAATTTTTCAGGGAGGTTTGTTTATTAGGGGATTGATGCTATTAAATTTTGGTGAGTAAAGGTCGAGGGGATGGGGAGATATAGAGGGTCATGTGTATCTCCAGTAGGGTAGACTTAATGATGATTTTACTCATTATTAGCATTTACAATGTTTTATAAAATCCATCCCTGCCCTGAAAATTAAGCTTTTTACCATTTTATAATAATTAAAAATATAAAAAGTTTTTAATAATAAAATATCATAACAGATGATGCCACACATGCAGTTTTAAATGTTGCCAAGAAAGTTGAGCAACTCATTGCTGAATTTTTAACTTAGATAAATAGCAAAAACCATTAACTCCCTTTTATAACTGATTCACCAGACCATGCTACCAGCACATAATATATATTCACTGTTCTGTGATAGACAGAGTTGCTATACATACTAAGTAATCAATTGGGCAGCCACCAATGACTAAGTGAATAAAATTGCTAAACATTGGTAATTCTGGTTTGTCGTGACTTTGCATCTCACTAATAGACTTGGAGTTTTCTGGGTTTTCTTCAAGTATATAAAAAGTAAATAACAGTCAGTTTCCCATAAAAGTCCACCTGGAAATTATCCCTCCCTGGCTCATTGCTCAAGTATTGCATTGCCTTATGCTATCAATCCAATCCATTTGGGATACTGTTTTTATGAGCTAGATACTAAAATTTTTATGATGTAACTTGAATATGATTCATCTTTGATTTACAATTTATGCAATGAATATTAGCTATTTTTGAATACAATCATAAAACAGTCCAAAAACAGGACATTTTTCAAACAGTTTAAAAATAAGGACAGTTTGACAATCTGGACAGTGTATTAAAAACAGAACTGTCCCACCTAATTTAGGACATCTGGTCACATTAATATAATATGTACAGTACAGTATATAAAAATATTTAAATAAAAATGTTGTTTTTATGTATTAGTAAATGATTATAATTGAAACATTATCTAATAAATTTGTTTTTTTATTTTCTCAGTTTGATTTTATTAACAACTTACTAACAATGCTACTCTATCTTACTGAATATTTATACTGTTTTGAGAAATTAATTAAAAATAAATTTTAAAAAATGCAAAATAATTCATAAAATATCAAAATACTTGAAATATCAATATTGTATTGAATCAGCTTGTTTATATTGTAGAATTCAATGAACTGCTTATGTAATTTATGACAGCAGTTGTAACATTTCAGCCTTTACAATAACTTTTATTTATTTTTACTTTTTTTTCAGATCTTGCTTCAAATATATATAACTAAAAGAGGGAAGTATTATAATTAGAAATCCAAACTATAGATTATAACTATATTATCCTTCAATAAATTAGATTGTGGAACAATAAAGTTAATTAAAAATTTACCAACTGCAATCTCAGTTTTATTGCAACTTTATTTCTTAATATATGCATGATTTGCTTCCGATGTCAGTTGTCAGCTTCTCTATTAGTATCTATTTTATTTTCATATTTGATTAGTCATTATAGTTCTAAATTTATACTGTATTTACATTTCATTTATCATTTATTTATGAGAAAGTTTTTAAAATACAATTTACTTATTAATAAAATATGGAAAATTAAAGATTTTGACCTACTTTTAAGAGAAATTGATCCATAATCAGGCCTATAATAGAAAAACCAAAACCTTAACTCTTCTATAATTAACTTGAATACAAATTATTGATAATATAAGATTTTCTTGATTTATTTTTTTTATCTTTCTAGAGATTTTCTAACTTATTATTATTATTATTAAATTAAGTTTTGGTTCTTTTATCAGATATACCAGTAATCAGTTTTAAATATGTAATATATGATAAAGTATGGATTTGTTTCCATAGAATGAATTGCTATACTAATTAATCTTGTTGCAATTAGAAGAATAATAAAATTCAATTATGTAATGTTCAAATGAATTTTAAATTTTATTTCAAATTATTACAAAATAATATAGTCATTGTTTTTCAAAAATTTAATTTTTACACAATGATTTTTCAGCATTATTACAAATTAATCACTTTTCTTTTCATAACATTCAATGTATTTATAGTTCTTGAAACAATTGTTATTACTGAGTTAAAATATTAGAGAAGTAACACTATAGATTTGCTTAACATGCGAGTAAAGTCTGTGCCTCAGTAGATGATAGATTTTTATTTGAAGGTTAAGTCATTTACTACTGTGGTATACTTGGTAAATTATATTAGAAGAGGAGTTTGATTTTACTTCTAGATCAATGAATCCATAAAACTAGTATTTTTCAAATATAAATCAGACTCTTGTATGAATTGCAAAGAAGCAAGTGTAATGAATTTGTATGAACTTAATTCATATTTTAACTTACATGTTTTATCATCAGAACCATCCATTCTGCTTTTAGAAAGGTTTTTTAAAAATACTAAAAGATTGACGGCTGTTATCACAAACTGTACAAGTAGTTCCTTGCATTGTACAATTTAAACAAACTCGATACAATGACAATAAATATTTGAAATCATTTAATATTTCATTAATTACTCTGTGTTTATGAAATTTACTTTTAAGAAATAGGGACCATAGCTTATGATCCCTACTGTTATTATTTTATATTTGGGTTAATAGTAAAGATAAACAAATCAATGTTCAGTCTACAGAATATCAATATAGATTTTTGCATTTTAATCTATGGTGGCCAATCTAAAATTATAATTTTAGTAAATTTAATATTAATTAGAAATTAAAACAATATTTTCCAATATATTATTATTGAAATTAGACATGGTAATTATTAGTATAAAAATAAAATTTTTATTATTAAAATTGGATATTTTATTTTATAGTTTTACAAATAAATTTATTAAATATTTTAAATTAAATAATATAAAATGACTACAATTTCCTTGTTTNTATAATTTTTGGTTCCCTGATCCATTTTGTTGACAGTAAGAGCAACCATGATGTCACACGACTTTCTTCCTATTACAGTTTTGGAGTTGTATTCAATATTAATATAACATTTTTCAGACATCTTCAGTAGTTGTAATAAAACTTATTGAAGCTATTAGAGAGGTAAGCACAATTTAATTTGTATATTTGTACTTCTAAATATATTTAGTTAATTTTAAAATTGAAAAAGAAAAATTCATTTAAGAAATACAAAAATGTTGATTTTTGTTTTTTAATGTAAGAAAAACATAAAATTAACTTTAAAATTATTTTTGACTGATGCTTTCTATTCAGTAAAATGTTATCATACAAACTAACAATTAGATTGTGTAATAAATTTGTTCAGGCATCCCTCTTTCAATGGCTGCATTCAGCAGACTTAACAATTGTAACTGAACAAATCAGTTGCTATTACATAGCAACCAGGATCTGTAGAACGATGAGTGACGTATGCATTGGAACAAAAAGCCTTATTGGTCAGTTTTGGGTAGCGATAGGTAGCATAAATGAAAGACGCTACCAAATGTGACGTCAAAACACCAAACATGTTTTGAAAGAATGCTACTGTAAAGGGCATTCAGCAGAAAAAAATTCAACAGCTCCAGAACTGTTGAGTCTGCTGAATGAAGCCATTTTCTCTTAACTACAATCTGTTTCTGAAAATCAGACATTTTGTGAAAAAACATTAATTGGAAACTTATTTCTCATTATTTTAAATAAGAAAAATTATAATCAGAGATTTTGAGTCAGTAGAAAATGCCCTCGACTTAGACTCATAGAATCTTAGAAAGTTCAACTTAAAATGATTATTTAAAATATACTTTAATTATAATAACCCAGAATAGCATTTTATCATTATCAAGCAAATCATCAGGCTACTTTTTAAGCATTTTTAAGTGAATTATAGGCATTACTATCAAAACTGAAAATACTCATCTTTTTTCCAGAGTTTTTATTAACAACACTATCATACTCATCTTCAGAATACTTTACTACACTACAGATGGATAATGTTTTTCATATACAGTGTAGTAAAGTATTTAAAAACACTTATTTAACCCGAGTTTTTTAGCTGTTTTGTATGAATCTTTGACAATAAAAATTTAGAATTAGCTTACACAGAATGTATTTGATTGTAATTTCTGAAAAGAAAATCAACAATAATGATATGCATAGAAAGTAGTAGGGAAATCTGAAAATAGTAGTATGATGATTCTTCCTGGAGGAGGGAATTATCATAATAAGATCTTGCATTACAGGAGACTCCTAGAATAGGAGGCTAATGCTCCTGTTAGGATCTTAATATAAAGTACATAATAAAAAAACAGGAGTTGTAGTCAGTCCATTTTTACGAACTCTTAACTTCTCTAGCAAGAAACTTGCTTGTGACTCAGACTCACAGTCCTGGTTATAATGTGTTATAATGCCAAACCCAAAACTTCCCAACTGGTTTTCTAAAACATACAGTAAAAACTAATCATCTGAGTCTTGATTAATTGAGTTTCCACATTATTTAAGAAGAACCTGTAACCAGGGTTGCAAGTGGATTACTTTTTCAGTTATTTGTTACTTTTATATTTCTAGTTTTTATTTCTTTCCTATTTTCAGTATTACTTGTAGGTTAGTTTTTATTACTATTTTCTCTTAGCAATCAAGCCCTCATTCAGTATGAAATGTAGATTAAAATAGGCAGCATTGTTGAAACAGAAGAAAAAACATCATTTATAGCGGTATCATGTCGTGAGGCTCCAGACAAGGGCCAAACCCTTGCTAGACATATATCAAGATTACAATGCCCAATGTATTGATACTAATCCAAACTCTAGCCATAATTAATAGGGCTATTATCAAAAGACTTGCTTTGTATCTGAATGGCGTAACTAGCAAGTGCACCACATAGTAAGTGGAGTTTTAGGTTCAAGTCCTGCTCCAGTGTAGTGCTTTTCTTCCAGAATGTTATAAATTATTAAATTATTATAATTGTTAATTTAGGAAGAGATGGCACCTAACGTCTATCTCTAATGCCAAATTACTTAGTTTCTAATGATTAATTAAAGCATAATAATAGCCTGATTAATTATATCAAGTGTTTGGATTAGTATCTTGCCAGACATATTTAGAAATGTTTTATTATAGAAAAAAAAGAATTAAGGGCAAGACAGAACAAAAAAAACTTTATAAAATAAATGCAATGCAAATAGATAAACAACATAAGTCCTACGATCAACCATCTCTGGTTGGGATCAAATTGCAGTGTCATGTTAAACATTGACAATCGACCTCTGCTGTGTTCTAAACTGATTGGGTTATACCTGGGGAAAGGGAGAGTCAGTTTGACTAAAGACAAGATAAATGAGTGGAAATAAAATCTGATCAGGTCATGAGAAAAGTCAATCTTTGGTATTCAACTCGACTTCATATCTCAACTCTGACCAGGAGATTTTGATGGAACTTCAAAACTTGCACTCATATTTTAGATTGTTATAGTTTGTTCTAACATCTAGGAATTTCAATTAAAATACATGATGTTTTTCTTTTGTTAGACTGTTCAGTTTTCCTGATTCAATTAAATTCTGTTATTTTTATATGAGCATCAAAGTTAAAGTTTAAACTCTCCAGTTTAACATTGATTTAGATACTAACGAGTCACACTTTGGACTTACATTGTTTACATTTTTATTACTGTTACTGTTAAATGTGCTAAAAATACATTTTTAGCACATTTAACAGGAGGTTTGGACTCTGTCTGGAACCTCACAGGGCTCCCTGGCATTTTTAAAATGTTGCCAAATGGAATGTGCAAAATTTTAACTAGCATGTTCTAACTGATTGTATTTCTTCACATGACAAGATACCATTTCTTCTCACATGTTTGGTTTTCATTACAGTTATTTAGAGAGTTGTTTTTACTACAACATTATTTTATTTAAGATACTTCACCAATAAGTATAAAAATTGATAAATGTATAAAAATTCATATTACATGGGTAAATACAAATAAATGGATAAATGCAAAATGATATACAATCAATCATTATATATAAATATAATGATTGATTGAAAAATTAAAACAGATGGAGAGGGAGAATTTAGAGGGGTAATATCTAGTTATCTCCATTCTCTATCAGGGCAAAGGGTTATTGTTGGGATTAATCATCAATCCCAGTTGGCAGTCTCAGTCCATGCAGAATTGGAGAGCAGTGTGCAGTTGTTGTGCATAGCACATTCCTGGTCAGGGCTGTGGACAGAGCTCCTGGATGATTTGGAACTTCTCTCTCTGGTGTTCGATACTTGGTCAGGGATCTGTCCTCCTGATTCTAATGGGTTTCCATCCTCTGTCCTCCCTGTTAGTTATCATTTCTTCTCAATTTCTCTTCCCTTCAGTTTCATTTATAATTTTTGGTTCCCTGATCCATTTTGTTGACAGTAAGAGCAACCATGATGTCACACGACTTTCTTCCTATTACAGTTTTGGAGTTGTATTCAATATGGCGGCCATGCATGTAACACACATCACTCTGTTTCTCCCTTGGTCTAATGCAGTGTTTCCCAAAGTGGGGCCCATGCCCCACAGGGGGCAATTGGATTCTTAAGGAGAGCAATTTGAAAATGGACTCGTCCAGAGTTTAAGTTAACTGTATAGCCGCTATATATGTTGGGGGGCATAAGAAGTTTAGAAAGGCTTAGGTGGAACATAGCACAAAAAAGGTTGGGAAACACTGGTCTAATGTGTTTTTGACACGAGCGATTTAACTTTGAGTACATTCTATATTCTTTAGCAGGGGTGTTAAGTGACTTCCTTTCCCACCCTGTATAGTAAATAAAAAAGCATATCATATAGATTACCTGAAAAAATAATAAAAGCCTGAATAACATCTTCAGCATTGAAAAATAAAACATGAAATACACTACTACACTACAATTTCAAGGTATATTTTCTTAGCTTTAAGCTTTAAATAATGAAGTTAAAATTGAAAATTTTAATATCAGCTATAAAAAAGGAATTGTTACTTACTAAATATTGAATTACTAATTTTAAAATTACTAAAAAGGAATTATACTCATACTAAATATTGAAAGTTTTCTGAACAGCATGATAGATGTATAGATGTATTATTAGTATTTTAAATTAAAGAAAAATATATCATATAATGATTTATTTTGTTCAACTGTTATTCAGTTAGTTCTTTTCTATTTATGGCATATTAAATTTTAATTTTGTATATAAATAGGAGTTTTTCACATATGAAAATGTTTCTTAGCACTTTTATAAATTTTGATGAAAATTATTTTTTCTGCTTATCTTATTGTATGAAATTTATATAGTAAAAATTCTAATTAAAATATCTTAATAAATCTATTGGACAAAAAACATCTTGGCAATCTGTCAACAGTTTTATGAAGAATATTATGAAAGATTATAAAAATTTTCCAAAATTTAAAACTTTTTTTGGAAATGTATAGACTGAAATTTTGTTATGAAGAGACTACTGAGCAGTAGAGGTGAGCCACAAGAGGTATGCCTCTTGAGATCAGTTGAGTTGGTCACTAATTATGTCCATGAGTAGTATTGTCATCATCGTGCCAGAGGAATGATACTGGACAGTGAAGGAGTCCAAAGGTCGATGTTACTAGTTCCGTTTACAGAAATATATACAAGGGTTACAATTACATTGACCATGGAAAGAATGTTCGGAGCATGCGGTGAGATTAAAGTCTGAACTGGAATATGTCGAACCACCGCAGTTACCTATTGAAAAAGTGTTGCAGCTAGTAGTGCCATTTTATATTGATAGTGTCTAGTTATATCTTTATTATGGATATGTAGACTAAAAAAAAATGAAGCACTGTAATCAATGAATGTTAATCAATGATAATTTTTTCATTTAAAATACAATAATCTTAATTTTGGTTAAATTTATGGCAAACAATACTGTAAATTAGTAGAAAATAAATATTATAACAGTCAAAAATAATTACATCATGTATAAAAGGTGACAGTTCTTGATTGCTTATTATTGAATTCTTTTATTTAAATCCCATGCATTTTTCTAACTGAGATTTTTTAAGAATTTTTGAAAAGTTTGGAGAGCTTTTGGATTTTAGACTAATAATCTTTTATCTGTTCTTTATAACTGTTGGCAATACAATTCTTATGAAGAAATATAGAGACTGCAAGATAATGTTTGACTAGATTTTATGTTGCTCTCATGAATAAATCTACTGTCAAATTACAGGCAAAGATTTAGACCTATCAAGTTTCATACCATAAACAAATGATTGTTTAATCTTACTTTCCTAAGACCTATTTATTTTAAAGATAATTAATTTACCATTATTAAAACATTTGTTGTTGAAACTATTTTCAATTAATATCAATTGCCTTTTAATATTTTTCTTACTGCTTAAATATATAATTAATACTTATATTATCTTAATAGCTTGATCAAAATTTTATACAATCCAATATAAACAAACAAGCATTCTTTCTTGTCAAAAAGTTTGACACTTCACATTCAGTTTTGCTGACTATTCAAGAATTCCAGTTTATGTTTCTAATATAGTAGTTAACAGTTGTGATGTATTTTTTAATCTTTTGAACATTAAATGAATAACATTGTTGATAAAACCTACCAACATAGATTGTGTCTTAATAAATTCACAGAATTATATTACTTTATTATACAATATAAACAATTAGGAATAATCTGAAATTGTAAAATAAAATAAAATTACGAATTTATTGTATGAATAAAATATCTAAAGGTAATATATAATATTTGTTTATAGGTTTGCCCTGTTGGAAGCAATAAAGGATGGACATTGTTACTCAATCATTTTGGAGCTCGTTGTTGGAGTCAGATTCTTCCTTTTGACATTTTAGGCATTTATCCAATTATATATGGTAGTTCTGTTGTTGTACATTCTTCTGCCACAGTAAGTATTTTGAAATACCAATTTTAAATATTATTTATATAATCTAGATTTTAATTTTTTAAACTCAAAAAGCTACAAAGTACTAAAAGTACTTCTCAATAATTTTTAACAACTATTTTATTCACTAAAATTTCAATATAAAAACTTGTCAGAAATTTAATTTCAGTTATATTTTATATTCAGAACATATTAATATGCAAACTGTTTTTCATTATTATGATTATATTTTAAGAAAATATAATCTAACTTAATTGTACAGTAGAATTTAAATCATTTATACTAAATTTAAAACTGTATTTAATGATCTGTCAGTAAAGCATATTAAAGTATTACTCTAATTTTCATGTTAGGATTCACCTACTCTTCATTTATAAACATTTGTATCTTCTGGATTTTAATGGAATTACTTGGAGGGAGATTCAAGTTTTTCTATAAGATTTTTAAAAGAGTGGGGTATTAAAAAGAATTATTTTTTCTTAACATAAATTTATTAACTTTTGCAATATAGATATACAGTAGAACCTCAATTATCCGGACTAATTGGGGATGAAGGTAGTCCGGATAAGGAAAAATTCGGATAATCGAAACAAATACTTTAATTTGTTTTTTAATGATAATACAACACATTTTATTTTTGATGACATATCGGTAATATTAAAAATAAATACTGTATTTAAATCGTGATCAAATTTTCAAGAAACAAACATTCGTATCGAATTTGGACTTCTATTGACCAACGCTAACAGACTATCTATTGTTTAAAAGGCCCTCTGGTGGCGCAAGAAGACGGATTTTATAAAATAAAAAGCAGTTGAAACTGCATTTTTATGAATAAAAATTTGACAAACTATTTATCGTTTTATGACGAGTAAAATTTTTTCGTCGCGTTCGCGGCTTTTAAGTAATGCATAAACCTTCGAGGCGCGAGGCCCTTCGGACCGCGAGGCATAGGCGGTGGCCCACGTCGTCCATGCCTTACGCCGCCCTTGGTCATAGAAATGATGTAATTTGAATATAAATTATTTATAAATACGTATGTCAAGTTATATTTTTATTATGACGCAAAATATATTTAAGAGTTTATGACCACTGTGCTGGGTGAGACGTTGTTGAAACAAAAAAAGTTATGCATTCCATCACATACATGAACAGTATCATAATTCGCCAAGTGCAAATCAGCAAATTCATAAAATTTTTGTTTATTTTGAACAATCCAGATAATCGAAAATCCAGATAATATAAGTCCGGATAATCGAGGTTCTACTGTATAACACATTACAGTAAGTAAGGAAGAACTGAACAAGTATAAAAGAAATATATTAATAAGTTATATACAATATACTGTTTTTTTAGCAAAGCAACATTTTTCTGTTTAAATTGAATTCGAATTCATTCCCAATCTCTCACTACAGACATTAATATCTCTGTAGTGTTTTTCTTAATGTTTTAATAATACAGCAAGGCCATTCTTTTGACTTGGATTTCTATCATATGCATATAACCGCGGGCTGGTGAATGAACTTCGTGCTAATACTATGATAATAAGAAAAACAGTTTGAATTTTCAAAAGTTTCTTTATATTGACAAATGCTTCACAAATGTCCAGTACTTGAAAGATAAGGTCTTCAGTCTTCTTTCTTTTCACTAAATCTCTGATTTTTTATTCAGTACATTATTACTTTTGCTATGAATTTGTCTTTTTTTTATGCATTCAAGGATGGACCCATATGCTCTGTATTGGTTCTGATAGTTGACTTTATTAGTTTGTCTGCCTTCAGGATAACACAATCAAAACTGCTAAGAATTTTGCTATGCTTAATGAATCAATATGGCTTTAAGTTTATCTAAAAATATTATCACTGTAATACATTTGGTGACTTGATTTCAACATTGATTTGATTTTATTGCTTTTCACTTAATCTTAGAATTTGCTTGTTAATTAATGCTTCTTGTCCTCTTTTTTATTATTATTCGTTTATTATGACTATAACCTATTAATAGGATGAGAAATTTTATTACTCTGTAGTTTTGAACATTATCATTCTAACATTCCAGTTTGGAATTCTGCTTTATTAAAAAAAAACCTGAGACAGCCTTGGTGAAAGCCAAAAATGTTTGAAATTTGTTGTTAAAGTTCTGTTACTGATTATTAAAGGCTTTATTTTTATTTTTAATTGATCACTCCAGTAATTTGAGAAGGAAATAGTTATAATTACTCTGTAAATTTAAAGAAAACTGTCAAGCGTTTATTCTTAAGCCTTTGCATCCTTATTATACAAATTTATTATTTAAATGTCTACTAGTATAATAAGTCCTAAGTAATATGATCTGTCGTAGTAGACATTTAAATAATAAAACTGTCAAGTGCTTTTTTCCAATTTCTGTAAACAGTAAAAATTTCAAGTTACATTCCAAATGCAATCAGTTAGTGTTAGAATCATACGTAAACGTTTTGAACAGTGTCAATTGTCAAGAAGTGGAATATGTATCTCATATATAGCTGGTACTGAAAGAGTCATTATAGTGTCATATCATGCTAACACATTGTACAACAGAAAGCCTAAACATGCTTTCTGCTGTTACTAACATTAGATAATTAACAATCTAATTACAGACATATCAAAGATATTAAGAGTATGTTGGGATTTATATTTTTTATTGTAAATTTTTGTTTGCATTTTTGTAACAAATCTCTTTATTACTTTGTATTATTTGCTCTGTAATATTATAAATGTAATGTTTGCGGTACAGTATGCAGATTGTACATATTGCTACATACAAGGAAACCATTTATTAATGACTATATTAATTGATAAAATTGCTTGATATTGATGATAAATTTACATAAAAAATTTTGTGAAAAACATACAAGTAAAGGTTGACTGTACCATAAGAATGTTACATCCCAAACAATAAAGAGACGATGAAATAAGGATATTTTAATATATTGTCTTTTTTACAAAGTATTTTTATTAAACTATATTAATTGTTTGGTGATCCAAAAGCAATGTCTTAAGCATTTTATATTTGTATATAATAATTTTGTAACTTATATATACAGTAAACAGAACCAATTTAAAGGATTTCAGATTTAATAGACAAAAAAATTTATTTTCTAGAAAAACTATAAAGGTGTTTACATTCATGAATAGAGCATGCTAAAAAGTTGGAACAATGAGTCAATGGGTATAAATTACTCAATGTATAGCACATTATATTAATATTTTATTCATACTTTCACATCATAATGATATTAACTCATCATGCACATTTTAAGTTTCTTATTAAGATTTTTAAAACATTTGATTTAATGGACTGCCACCAATAATCATTTTCCCCAATTATTCCATTAATTTGAGAGTTTCTGTATAAAAGCATTGTATTATTTAAATTATATTTTCAAAAATTAGTTGAGAGTTTTGGGTTGATCTTGTAATGCATTATAATTTTTCTTATTTAAAATAATGAAAACTAAACTCTCCGTTAATGGTTTCCCATAGAATGTCTGATTTTCAGAAATGGATTACTGACATTAAGCAAGAATTCCTGTATTTATCTGTTTCTCTTTTACTTTAGTGTAAGATTTCAAAGATAAAAAATATTTTAAAAGGAAGATTATTTAATATACAGTGGTACCTCAGGTTACGAACGCCCCAGCATACAAACTTTTCAGGATACGACATGAAATTCGAACATATTTTTGCTCCACAATACGAACAAAAACTCACCATACGACGTTACATTAGTTCGCATTTTTCATTTGTTTTTCTTACTACAGTTATTTTTTTTAATGTATTATTTGGCTTTAATTTGAGTATGTTTTTCGCGTTGGAACGAATTATTTGGTTTTACATGTAATCGTATGGGAAAAGATGATCCACCTTACGACATTTTCATGATACGATCTCAATTTCGGAACGGATTAATTTCGTATCCTGAGGTACCACTGTATTGTCCTATTTAACTAATGTGTCAACTACTATTAATACTTTATGAAAAAATTACAAATTTTAAGTTCAGTTGTTATTAAAATTACATGATGTTTTAAAACTGTTGTATTTTAAATGTTGTACTAATTATAATAAGCAAATATACGAAATTCTAATTTTTTCATTGTATTTTTATAGTCTGTTTTAAACATTGTTGCCGATCTCGCAACTTGGAAAGAATGGTATCCATCTATTTCGGAAGAGAAAAAAATGAGAGCCGAAACAATACCTGATTTAAGGTTACAGTCTGATGAATACATGCAATGTGATAGATTAGTGATAGATAAGTCTTCCTCTTCTCAAGTTCAGATGTATCGGTAAGTATTATGATAGTTATCCTAAAATTTTTTGTTAATTCTGCTATTAGATTACATAATTTATAATTAATCATAGAATTTTTAAATTACAAAATTTGTTTAAAATTTAATTTGAGAAATTTCTCCAGTCTTTGTGCCTTTATACTAACATTTTCATATTTATTGTATGATTTAATAATGAATTGCATGTCATTATATTACTAAGAATGCTAATATAATTCAAAAGAAGATAGTTTTTAAAATTTCTTTTAGCATAAGGTAGAAAACATATTTTTCAAAATATTGAGGCATTATTGCATCTTTCAATGCTTATTTCAATCTTCAGAATCCTCTTTAGACCAAAATACAAGTTTTGGCAATGATAGTAAGTAGTAAGGCAATGGAGATTATAAAATATAAAAATTTACTTGTTTAAAAATATTTTGTTTTTGGAATTTTTTATATAAATATTTTTTGAAAAATATAAAAAATGAATATCAAAGAAGTAAAAACTTAATTTATAGTTTTAGGTCAGTGTTTCTCAAACTGTTGAAAATTGCAGTACACTTTTGGTCTTTGCTCAGTTATATGGAGAATCAGTTTATGTGTATTGGCTTTTTAAACGGGGAATAAGGACCTATTGGGAGTCAATATACAGCAAGACCCTGCTTAACATGGGGGATGCGTTCCTAGACAACAAAGCACTAAGCAAAACAGCATTAAATGAGGTCACTTTAACATAGAGTAAATAGGAGTAGGGGAACACACGACCAAAAATAAACAAATTTTACTTTAATTTTAAGTTATTTTTATATTAATTTGTATAATAATATATGTTAAATAACTCATAAACATATGCACACAGAAATGTATAATAATATATTAATTAGTTCATTTTTTGTAACAAGAGTACTGACTTTTCTGAAATTCTTGTTCTTTTGCAATAAAATTGTGAAGTTTCATTTGTTGCTTTTTTCTTTCCTTAAGCAAATTTCGGTAGCAGAAGATCGCATCCAAAACGCCTCGTTTTGCTTTTGCACTCTGAATCTCTATTTTCCAGTTCCACATGAATTCCATGTTCTGCCAGTTCTTGAAGGTCATGCTGGTAAGGCTCTCACCAGAAACCTGCTGTAACTCCTTAATATCCTGCTCATCTACATCTCCTAGTCCTGCTATATTGATTAGGTTGAGTTTGGCCAACCTAATGATACAGTGATAGGCTCTTCTCATTGAGAATTCTTGGATATTTTCAGCCATAACTTCTTCCACACTTTGTTTGTGCATTTATCAGTTAATTCTTGCCAAGCAAAGTTGATATTTCGTATGGCATCCGTAATGTTATATTTTTTCCAAAATTGCACCAAACAAACATAGATTTAAAGAAAGTTCACCTTTTTACCACCTTTTGCCAATTGGTTTGTGTTCACAAATAATCGTATTATATATGAATCAATGAAATTCTGCGATAATTTAAATCGGTGTAAATTTTGAGCTTTTTTTAGGCTACAAGCAGACTGCGTTATATCAAATCAGCATTAAGTGAGGCAGTGGTAAGCGGGGTCTTACTGTATCTGCAAGTATTGGCACTGGAAGCTGCATGAGATACAATCCCAAGAACAAAATAGAAAGTCTTCAGGAATTATTTTTATTTAATATTTTAATATATTTAACCAAGAGTATACATTTCAAACCAGTATGAGTAGTTTTAAGAGTTGCATTATTAGTTATTATTTCAAGCAATATTGTTTTCATATCAAGATTAGATTTGGAGAAATATGTTTTATGATATTTTGTATAGTTACTTCATTTGCAGTTTTAAAATTGCCTAAACTGATATAGATATATTCATTTATTTTTAGTGATTGCATAAAAGAATTTGAATATCCATAAGATTTTTTAATCAAAATTTATAACTTATGCTAATTTAGATTGTAAGGATATAATTCTTAAGTGTATTTTCTTTAGATCAAGACAACATTCTGGTTCTGCCACAAGATTAGTGTTTGCATCTGATTATATTATGGATGAGCATCAGGCATCCGAATGTCATGCCGAAGATTTCTTTTCACATTGTGTTCAACTAGTCCAAAGGCTTGATGTTGTTGGGATAGCTAGGGAAGAATATCTTGCATTGAAAGCTCTACTTTTAACTAATGCTGGTAAGAAATTAAGAATTATAATGTTTTGAAATTGCTCATGTTATCATAACATCATTTTTTATAACTCCTTTTTAAAACATTTATCAGAATTTATTATATGTTCTTGTTTACAAGTTCTGAATAAAGTACACAACTTCATAACTCAACAGATAAAAATTTTATTTTCTACACACTGTGGGTGACACTCTGGCACCTCTACGTTCACCAAGCACTATACTGATTCTCCACTAGACACACACACTGGTTAACACTGACCCACCACACAAAAAGGAATGCACAAGTTTCCCTGCTCTAGCCAGGAAAAGCTCACCCCACATTCTTAAAGGATTAGATTACAAAAATATATATGTGATAATTTCTGTTTAGTTCTATATATTGAACATCAAACTTAACAAATTAAAATCTAAAAATACACCTTACAATAAAAAAATTCATTGGAAACTAACGTGATAAATTCTTTTGAGAGTATATTACATCTACTTTCTTTTACAAATGATCTGAAGTTTTTAAAAATTAAACAAATTCAGCATTCCAACATCTTGGAACATGACCAAGAATTATAAAATGTCATATTATAAAACTTATTAAAAATAACACATGATAAAAGGTTTTAAATAGAACACATTATAAAACCTTTCAAATATAACACATTGTATAACCTGTAGAAAATAACTCATTATAAAACCTTTTAGAAATAACACATTATAAAACCTTACAAAAATAACACATTATAAAACCTTTTAGAAATAACACATTATAAAATTTTTTAGAAAATAACACATTATAAAACCTTTCGATATAACACATTATGGAACTTTTCAAAAAATACACGTTATAAAACTTTAAATATAGCACATTATAAAACGTTTCAAAAATAACACATAATGTTTTTTTATAATGTGTTGTTTTCATATATAACACATTATGAAACCTTTCAAAAATAACACATTATAAAATTTTTAAAAAATAACACATTATAAAATATTTCAAATATAACACATTATAAAATATTTCAAATATAACACATTATAAAACTATGTATAAATGACACATTATAAAAACTTTCAAAAATAACACATTATAGAACTTTACGGAANCACTAGTTCATAAGCGTACTTTTGTCCTGGCCAGGGTTATAGAGATTTACACATTAAGGAATTTGTTTATTTCAAAATATGGCTACTTCAAAATTCAAAGTGAAAATTCTGTCCAAACTGCAATGTTCATATGTTAATTGGTTTGTTTAGATCAAAGTGCCTCCATGCTATAAGCCATATTGACTTTGCTTTTATAACAATATGGCTTTGCTTTTATGGTAACGCATTTTCAGATGTCTCCTTGCCCATGGAATATCTTTTTTTTCTCTTATCATAAAATACGGCTGGTTTTCGGGATGGCAACATTGGGCTATTAATAGCAGATTGAGATATTTGAAGGGCTCTAGGCTACTATGTTTGGGAATCTTACTACTTTTTGGGCCACTTTAAAAATAATTTAGATTGTATTTTGAGGAATTCTGCTTTACTTTTTGTAAAACCTATCTGGCAATCTCTGAGGTTCTCACCAGACATGTGCTGTTTACCTTCACATTTATATTATCAATATTACTATTAATTATTAACAAAAATAGTGTTCTTTATAAGTATCCTTATACAGAAAACTATTCCTGTATATGAAAAATGTTACTGTATATATAAGTTACAAATTATTATATACAAATATAAAATGCTTAAGACATTGCTTTTGGATTCCATTTGCTTAATAAATTACATCAGTTACATGGCATTTGGCATATTATACAGAAATGTGTAAATCTCAGATAATTCAAAGTTGCAAATATTTTGTTCCCTGAATTTTGAATTAACAAGGATTTCCTATAATTTGATTATTTCTAAACTTGATAGTTAATGGAATATGTATCAATGTTATATGTAACAGTCATGTTTGGATTAAACTGGTTGAGAAGAGAAATGTAATAAATTTTCATATTATTACTTTTCTGGCTGTTATTCTATAACAGAAGGAAATTATTGTAATTAGTCAAGTTTTGACCCTCTAGATTTTAAGATTCCTGATCCAAAAACATGAAAAATGTGTGGGAACAGAATTCTGCTTATGTGTGTTGGCTTATATTTTGCTTTATAATTCTGTTCATTTTGTTTTTTATAAATGGAATACTCTTCCTCTCATCCTTTTTATAACTTTTGTAGTAATAATAATAATCTAAAAGTCAGAATTTAGTTTAGTAAATTTATTGTGTTCAACTGTTTATCATCATGTAAAATATGTTGAATTGTATTGAATTTATGAGAATTTAAACTTTCAAACCATATTGAAGTAACTGCATTATATGGATATAAATAAAAATGTTTAAAACAATTAAAATTATCATTTTAGGTTTGCTCACGTGGAGAAAAATGGTGTTGGATGGATTCTTTTTTGGCAAGTTCAGAGATTAGACTGGTGCTTCTTCCTTGCTCAACCTGTAGAAAATATTTGGGGTAAAGTTAATTTATATTCTTATTAAACTGAATTAGTAGTTTTTAAATTTATTCAAGAACCAGTTAGAATTTCAAATAAAGTGATAATTGATTTACATGATAGATGTATTCCTCAAATCACACATTAATCAAAAATCCATATAAATAGACTATTAAGTTGCATTTGTCACTTCACATTAGTTTATATGAAATTAACATAACACAGATATATTTATTCAAATATTTGAAATATTGTCTAATTTTAATTTTGATTAATATTAATTTGTTACTAGCAAATTAATATAAATTATTTTGCTTGTCAATTTAATAAGAAAACAAATTAAAAACATTGTTATGAAAAATGATAAGCATGCATATTGCATTATTATGAATAATGCAATATGAATAACATTAATCTAATTAATATAAATTGAGTATTTTATTGTATAAGATTGTCTTGTTAATGCACATGCCGTTGATTAAAACTTCTTGAAAAAGCATTGTAAGTCAGCTGTAAGTGAAATTAAACAAATATTTATCTAGTTATTTCTAAAATAGCATTTATAGGAGTTGCAACCTTCAACATTGATAGTGATCTCTCCTAATTTCAAATTGAATCAGGGAATGACTAGAAATCACAGAGTGCAAGATCTGGTGAACAGCAGTTGTGATATAACAATAATTTTTCTCAGTCAAGAATTGCTATACCATTTTGGTTGTGAGACTAAGAGCAATAAGATAATATATAGTAAATCTTAACTGAGAAACAAATTGTCATCATGTTACAACCATTATATTCATTAAATCTTACAATTTCTGATTATTTTGTCAGCCTAAAATGGCTGTATGGAGTCAACATTATTCAACAATTGTAGCCATCCAGAGAGATGAATGTCTCTTAAGCCTGAAAGCTTCTGAGTAATACTCAAAAGAATCTCTGTACATTTAGAAATAGTAAACTATTAGAACAGGTATGTGTGCATTGATGGTTACTGCTTTAAAGATGACTACATAAATACATTTTACTTAAAGGCATTTTATGGTACTTTTCTAAGAAGTTTTTGTTTAGAAGTGTGTTTAAATAATAGTCTGAAATATAGTTAAGTATAAGATAAATATTGTCAGATTTTATAGCCCTAGAAATTCAACAATATTTGGTTTATTATATATTAAAATTTCTCATCTAAATTTAAAATATTTATATAATAAAATAATTCCAAAATTGCACATGTTTTAAATAAACTAAATCCAACAAACTATATCTAAGTATTGTTCATTAAATATATCAGGTTTTAATAATGTATTTATTTTATGTAAAGTTAAAATACAGTTTTAAAGTTAATTATTTAAAATTAATTAACAATTATTTTAAATATATTTTTATTATCAAAGAAAAATTATCTATTTAAAATGGAACATTTGAAACCAATATCACTAGAATTTTTTTGCAATTTTGCAGAATTTTTATTTTTTTGTATCCTATTTCAGTGATTAAAATAGTAGTTTTAAGAAGAATTTTATATATATATATAATTCTTCTTAAAAGTACTATTTTATAGCATATATATATGCTTGATTTCATTATATATAAATTTTGAAAACATTCTTTACAGTTATGAAAGTTATAAACTAAATATTGTTTATATCCAGATGATCATCCTACTCAATGTTTACTCACTGGCATACAAAGTTTTAATTATCGCATTCAAAAGAAGAACAACATTCCAAAAGAACTTGTTCACAAATTACTCAGTATTAAAGATACTGTAAAGGAATTTCACTTGAAAGCCTACCCATTCCAATCTTTATCGTCATCAAATGAATCACAAGGTGATCCGTCAGAATACATTCACATCAACGATCAAGCTCATAAATATTTATCTAGCATTTCTTGCAAATTACTTCAGAAAAGAATACCTCGTTCACCAATTAGAAGTTTACATCATAAAGAAACTGATGTTCTCACTCTTGTACCATTTGGTACTGCCAGACCTGTCACTGTATACAATCATAAAGGTTTTGTGCTTTTCCGACAACCAAAATCGGAATCGTTTCCTTCATCTCACCATTCGACTCCCAGACACAGACCTAGAATAAAAAATGAATTAAGATCACGCAGCGGAAGTTTCAGTTTGAAACGATCATCCAAAGTAAGTAGAATACATTATTATATTATTGAATTTTGAGAAAAAAATTGTTGCGTTGATTTTAGTAATTCAGATTTATCTACAGTCTTTTGCATTACTAAATATACTTTTAAATGTTAATATTTTATAGGGTCATATTATAAAACAAAGAGCTTTATCTGCAGATGCTAGGATGCCAAATTCTCCTATATCCAAAGATTTCCCAAATTCAGAAAGCATCTATTCCACACCAATTGAATCACTTCTGGAAAATTCTAATGTTACTTCTGGAAATGCAAGTAACAGTACATTATCAAAACTTGGTAAACAACAAAGTGAAAATGAATCAAAATGTAATTTAGTGCCTCAACTGAAAGTGTATTCTTCTGATACTGATTCTTCTAGTAATGATGAAACAACAAAGTCTAAAATTCCTCAAGAAATGGAAAGTTTATCCGATTTTGAATTACTTTTACCTCACTGCAATTCTGAAGGTAAAAATTATCTTTTATTTTTTCTTAATTCTTCCTTTTAACAAAATATTTTGTATAAAATTAAGCATGCTTTTTTTAGAATAGTTTGTTGCTGTGAAATTTTATTGTAGACAAGTAGAATATCCTGTTATTGACAGTAAATCAAATGCTACAGAATTATTGAATTGTAATTGGTTACTATTGACTAGGACAGGGCTTCTTAAACTTTTTTTATTCATGACCCCATTTATGATTGTGATTTTTTCGCGACCCAAAAAATATAAAATGAAGATATATACAAATTTGCAAAAACAATAATGGTGTACTACCACAGTTCACTCTTGTGTTACAATGGAACAGAGACAACTGAATACACTGAAAAGCGACAACACTATACTAGTACACACTACAGTGTTGCTGAATCGTTGTCTCGCTGCACCAGAAGTGACACAAAGCGTGCCATTTTCAAACTCTCACAAATTATTTTCAATATTTTGCATTAAAATCTCGCGACCCCAAGATTTTGCTAAGCGACCCCAAATGGGGTCGTGACCCATAGTTGAAGAAGCCCTGGACTAGGAGGTCATCCACTCCAATGGATATTGTGAGATAAGCTGGGGGTACTACATTGACAGAACTTGGGTACCACTTAATTGGCACGAGATCTTGCAATCCAATCTCTATCTTTTTGGAGGGCTTTAAAAGAGTTTAAGAAAGATAGAGACATGATTGTATAATCCAGTCTCCTGTCAGGATTCCCGATACCAACTTAGATATAGCATTAGGCACGCTTATATGTCTAATTTTAGAGGAATAGCAAGTGTGGAGGCAGTGATTAAGTGGAAGGGACATAGGCATGGATAATAGCCATTAAAGAGACCATAATTAAGTAACATAACAAAAATATTTAATTTAATCAAACAAAATAATAATACAATTAATGGGATACAAATGATATATTCTGAACCTATATCACAGAGAGAAAATCAACTATCTAACTTAAATCTAATTCAACCTATACACATGAGAGAGCATTCACATCAATCTAAACAGATTATACTACCTTCAGTTTCCGTAAATATCTTGTATTTGAATGCTGTCTTCTCGTTTAGGATCAGGGAGATGTTTAGGAATCGTAACTTCTATGGATGCGCTATTACAATATGATCGACAACTATGTGGCGGTCCTCTTAACTATGAACGGCCTTCATCATATTTTATGTGGCAAGTATTTCTTTCCCCGAACTGCCCTATATCATATGGCGAATTCTGTCCTCTAAGATCTGTACTTCGTAGAACTGCCTAAGTTCTATGTGGTGACCTCTTTCGATGGACTACCCGAAATGGCGGGAAAATGTCCCTTTTATACGAGTCGCCGGCCTAACAGACGGCCAGGTCTCATGTGCAGCTGTTTATGATTCAGCTTACTCGTCATTGGAGAAAGGAAATGAACTTCCTATCAGAATCGAAAGTTTTGGCATCCGTTGTTTGAAAAATTTGTCAAAGTTACAAAATATTAATTTCTAATTGAATTTAAATCATTCTCTTTTTTTCTAATTTCTTAAAAAAGTGACCCCCCCCTAAATCTTGATTCTCACAATATATTATTTATTTTCTTAAAATTTCTGAGAAACTATTCATGTGTAATGTTGTAATCATCCAACAAAATTTTCTATTACCATTGAGTGTAACTATATTGATTGTTTATTAGATGACATTATCTATAGTCTCCTCAAGAAAAAGAACAAAGTATGCAATGATATGTAATATATACTGTTACAATGTCTTGTTGATATATTATTATTATTATTTTTTTTTGCATTATGTTATTGTAAACAATATTTTTTCTTTATTGTACATTTCCAATTTATGTAAAAAGAATTAATGGTCTATTTTTCGTATGTCAACAATACTTGCTGTCAGGATTATAGTCGTGATGATGATCTTTCCAATTTTATTTTTTGTAATTCAACTACTTGAACAGCACAAAATAGAATGTAAGAATTCATCTATGGTCCAATTATGATCAACATATTGTGGATCAGCTGAACTTGTTATGACAGATGGATACTCATAGATTTTACAGTGAAATGCATTTGTTTTTTTATCCTGTGGAGATTATAACTCTAACAAAATTTTATTTATTGCATCTTTGTTACATTTTTCCAAGCCACACCAGATATGTAGTTTATGTTATTAAATGTTTCTAATCGAATTTTTGTAAGAATTAGTTTTTCTTAATAGGTAACCTGACAACAGCTAGTTAATATACAGTAATACCCCGAACTTACGTGATAGGTGGGACTGAGCGATAACCGTGTAAGTTGAATTCATGTAAGTCGGGGTATAATTTCGCAATTTGTGTAAAATCCAAATCGGATGTATGTAAGCTAATAAATGTTCTTGTTAATCTTATCTCATCTTTTGATTCGTTCATGGTTACAAGAAATCACCACATATTGTCTCTCGAGTCTCCGTAGATATAACAAAGACAGAAAAAAATAACTCAAAATAAATTGTAGCTATGTGTCGATTCCGTGCGACACGTCCGAACACATGAGCTGAACAATAGTGTGGGGGGAGTGAGTAATCGAGAGTTGCGTGATGCTCAAACAAAAGACAAATCAACGAGATTTGAAAATCGCGTAACTCCAGGTTTGCGTAAGTCAGGGTAGCGTAACTTGAGGTATTACTGTAATTAAAATATACTAGGCTCTTGCTAATTTGGTCATTCTTGCACAGAGGATACCAGATTAGTAAGTGCTGAATTACTGAGAGTATATAGGCCTAAAAGCAATGAATGATGTAACCTGTTGCCCTTTGGTACTGGTTCTTTTTGGAGACAGGGGACAAGTAATACAGCATGTTGACATGCAATATTATACATAGAAATGAAACCTGAATAAACAGGATATGTGACATAAACTAATATTTTCATGGAAATGGAAGTGCATGGGCAATCTTGCTGGGGAGTTCACCTGATAATTGAAAGGCCAGATTAGCAATAGTGTACTGTATCTGTTCTGAAGAGAGAAACTTTTTTAACTGGAAAAATTTTTAAGTTTATTTTAAAATTAATTATCAGCTTGTTTTGGAAGATTTATTTAATTAGATTCTGAATACATGTCTTATTTGGGCAACCCTAAAAATGGATTAGTTAACAAAAAAACAAAATTTTTCATATAAAAGTTTACATAATTTTATTTATTTGATATATAAATTGGTAAATTATTTTCAGAATATTCAGTGATTGGCTATTTATCTTTCTATTTTAGAAGTAATGTTGAAAGAAAGATTTGCTTGATATATGTGCTTATAATGTTTTTAATCAATATAACTGAAGGTTATTTTTCAAAATAATCTTGTGTTAATTCAATTTTGATTATTTATATTCATAAGTTTAATAAAATTTAACTTAGAACTATTAAATTTTAATTAAATATAGAAGTAATAGAACAATATTATTTATTTTCAGATGAAATGATAGATTTTAAAACAAAAGGAAACTTGTGTGTGTCAAATTTATTAGTCGAGGTAAGTTTCAATATTATAAAGCATTGTAAATTTTATTTTTAATGGATATTTACCAAAATTTATATTAAAAATATAATAAATTTAGAAGTTTTAATATTGACTTTTTAAAAAATAAAAGTTAATGCTTGTATTAACTATTTATTATAATTTTTATTTATTTGTACAATTCCATTATTCTTCGGTAACTTAGAAAAAATAATCTTTATAAATATTTATGGATATTTATTTAATATTTTTAACCCTGTAGTCAAGTTAACTATGTATTAAAATATTTAGAAATTGTTTTGATGAAACTAAAAAGATTTTTATAGCTACTTTTATTCTATCTTTAAATTTTTTAATTTTCATTCTTCCATTTTTCTTTTTTCTTTTTTGCTGTTCTGGATAAGATGATAGATTTATGTGCCACCATTGCTTTTATCATAACGTTTCCTTATCCTCTATATCAGGAATACATTAGTATGTCAATAAAATATTCAGTTTTAATCTTAATGCACCATAAGCTTGACTTTGTTGTTGTTCATTATAATGTCTAATTAATTGTAATTATGTTCTTAAAACATTAAACAATGTAAGATAGAAACTAACATGATCTAATTATTCATTCACAATATTGAATTAGCTTTTTACTTAATGTACTGTACCAATGTTACTAATAATGAAGTTGGATTAAAATTTTTATAATTTATATATCCTCCTCGGTTTAATTCTGTTAAGGTCCACAAACTTTTTAGATATATGTGACAATGTGTGAAGTGCCCCCTAAGCTTCCACACCACGGGACTGAAGGGTCGACATCGTGTCAGTGATGATTAAGTTGTCAGATCTGATACCACTATGTCTTTGAGGAAAGACACAGAAACCTCAATGGCCGTTAAGTTTGTTTTATTGCACAAGCAGTCGTGTGTGTAGGCACTCGGGCACAGAATGGAGAAAGTCTGAGAGACAACCGGAAGAAGTGCACTCCACTACAAATTTAACATTAAACAATACCCGTTTATTAAACAAGAAGCATTTTACATTTCTGTACATAAGTTATAAAATTAGCATCTAGCTACAATCCTTATATAAGTTTGGGTTCTTGACCAAATAAACATGGATCTTAAAAGGTAAAATAAATTTATTTTGAGCTCAAGTACAAAGACTGTCACCAGTACCACACGTGGTCAGAATGACTCTAGAGGGAGACAAAAGACTAAATGTAGGGGCACAGTAAGATGTTGCCAGGTTGGCCACGTAAAAATCTCTACAAAGTAGCAATTATCATTAATATAGCAGGTCCCCGACCACGAGAGAGAGTTCACAATAGTCCGTGAGATGATAAATACCTTAGTCAAATAGAGGTTGGTTCCTTTGGGAATTGGAGGTTTGGCAAATCGATGAACTTCATGAACTTCTGGTCTGCAAGATTGTTTGTTAGATCTTTGACAAGATAACTTGATTGGATAGGATTGTTAGGATAACTTACTAGGATCGGCAGGATGGGCGATGTATCTGAGATGAGCGACAAACTTTGGAGACAAACGAATTCTCTGTGTCGTCATTGGACATTGCCTTTTATTTGGGGTTCTCTCCTCTTTCTTCTCCATCCAATAATGATTTTTGTTGTTAGGTTCCTGGTGTCATCTGGAAAAGCAAGTGACTCCAGAGAAAGATACAATCATATCCTCCAACAATCAAATTATTTTTTTGCTGGGAAAATTTTTTTTACCTGAAATATTTTGAAAAAATTTAATTTTTCATGCCCAAATTTTTCATCAAGTCCAGGCTCTCACATATACAGTGACAGCATTCTTTAATCGAATAATGGAATTCATAAATCAATTTTTCCATCTGTTGTTTACACTCTTTTTTTATTTTGCAAAATGATAGAAATATTTTAAATAAAGGAAAAAATTGTTTAAAGGCTGGTTTATAGTCCAAAGGCAGTGTGGAATTTCATGATCACTAGCCTTTGTGGAGCTTACATAAAACTTTGGTGTTCATCTAACTTGGCACATTGGAGTTTAACTTTGGAGTTGCATTGCTAGACCACAACTAGCATATACCAGAATGACAGTGAATGGTTCAATTGAATGAATATTTAATAGACAATTCTTTCCTAAATTTAAAAATATTGAAATGGGTCTGATATAAAAAGATTTGATTATAAAGATATACAGTAGTAAGGATCAAGTATTTTTAGCACTATATAACAAAGCATTTGATTTAATTTTTAAAATGAATTGATAGTTTAAAAGTTGATGATTGCCAAAGTTGTGGAAAAGTCTTTGCAATAGATTTGACAAAATTGAGAATGATGGGATGACATAGCATTGAGTATTATGTGGTCTATAGTTTGATGTCTGTTGGAGTTGTAATAAAGTGATCTTAACAGAACTCCATGAACTCTGTTGTTGCAGTGTCACACTGCCATTGAACTAAAAAAACAACAGCCTTAGTTCACAATTTATAACAGAATAAACAAAAATATTTAACCACTCTTATGATAAAACTGAAAATAAAGCATTTAATTATAATAATAGCTGTGATGCAATATGTAAAGTTAAAACTCAAAACAAAAATTAGATAACAGTTTGTAATCTTTTATAAATAACAATAGTTGGTAGCTTATATTGTACAATTATTTTCATATTATTTGTGTTTTAACAGTCATAATAATTGTAACTATACACTTGTAAGGAAGTTCCTTTAATTTAAATATGTGAGGTCCGAAACTCCTCACTTGTTTACGTTTTTGTCTTTCTTTTTTCACAATCTTCGAAACAGAGTTGTAAAAGTTAATGTATTTGTCAAACTTGAAGTGAGAGAGATGATAAACTGGTGAGAGATTGAGCTGGGAAAGTGATTGACAAAAAAAAGTTGTTATTCATAAAACAGGCAATTTTCAGTTTAAAAATACAAAAGAAAGATGAGGGAAGCACTTTACGCAACAATTAGATAATTGTTCCAGATGTTCTGACTATCAAGCAATAAAACATCTCCCTTCCCTGATTACAAGCCATTACCCAAGGGAGTTCACTCTTTCCTTAATTACAGGCTGTCACCCCAGGGGGTTCATAAGTGAAAGCTGGAGGAAGTGATAGCCCCAGTGTGGGAGTGAGGGAGATCCCCCTGACCCAAAGTTGGCCCCTAGCAGCAGAGCAGGAGCCAATGAGTGAAAAAGGAAGAGTCTGATCTTGTTCAGATCATCCGAATCATGGATTTCAAGGCCGAATCATATAAAGGAGACTGACCCCCAAGGTAAATGAGAGTTGCCACCATTGTAAAGTGTGTTCATTATCATTGAGAACCTCCAAGGTCATCTTCACCATCACAGACAATCATGTCAACATTGGATCATTGTAACTCAAAGACATCTGTTGATCCAACCAGAGAGAGAGATTTACCTTCTCCCATCAACCCCATGCTTCTCCAGCCAGACCACCAAGTGTCATCCGATCAACCATTAAGGGCCTGAAAATTACCCAAACAGGATAAACCAATTATATCCTAATATCATCTCCCACCTGGACTTCTTCCCATTTTGAGTCTTGGCTTCAACTAATTGTAAGAATTTTCTCTTAAAAATAAATGTGATTATAATTGCACATTTGTGTACTTCTCTGTGTTTGTCACTACTACCTCTTTTGCCATCCTCTTGCGACATCCTGACTGAAGTATGAGAGCAGCAAGTAACCCTATTGTAGAACCTATCATAGAGGTATTTTACCAACAAAGGTGTCAAGTAATGGTTCACAGATATAATTCAGAATATATTTCTCAGAGTAAAAACATTTCAGAAACTTTGAGCATTTTTAAGCTATATATTTATCATTAGGATCAAACTACCATTAATAAGCTGTCTCCAAAAAACTATTCTTAAATGTCAGGCATGCACCTTAAGAGCAGCTGTTGAACGTATAACACTTACTGAAATACAGTTTAAAAGTACCATCTCAAACATTAAAACATTATTTTTCTATTACACTTCATTGTAGATGTAATTATAAAATAAGTGAAACAAAATAGAATACGGAAAGGGAGTCTCCTAAACTTTGTGTGTGGAAGATAAAAATGCCTATTGAACCACAAAATATCTTTATCATATCATGTCATTTCTGTTTTATTTATTAAATTATATTAATAAAATATATAATAGCACAATCATAATAAATTTTTAAATGTCTCTTATCTCCAGAAATTCATTGTTCTAGCTAGAGACAAATATTTTCCTCTAATGGAAAAGTTCAGCATGATGAAATGCAATCACAATTCACCAGAAAGGACATCATTGTTGACACAATATTTCCTCTTTCCACTTTTCATTAACAATTTTCTCTCTATGAACTAAGCTTAAAATTCAGACATTAAAAATATTATTTACAATTACTTTTAAACGCAATTTCGTACTAATTCAAATTATTTTTATGTTAATAATAATAACAATTAAATTAAATACGATATTATTACATTAAATCAATGAAAATTATGATTATATAAATAAGTGATGGTCTCTTTGCGTGTTTTATGAAATGACGTGATAACGAGAAGACTGTCNTTATTAATTGTTATAAAATGGTAAAATGCTTAATTTTGAGAGTAGAAATGAGTTTGATAAAAAATTGTAAAACCTAACAACAAGTAAAATCTAAGTCCAATCCTACTCAAGATAAGATACATGACCACTCTGTCTTCCCAATCTCTCAGCCTTTAACCATCTAAATTTAACAGCCTCAATGAAGAGCACCTGTATATTGCAGTACATGTCTCTCCCTTTTTGTCTGTGTTTACGGGTACTCTAAATTCCATTATCAACAAACAACAGAAAATTTATGACTTCTAGACTATTTTGCAAATATAAAAGAAACTAATGAACGATATCTGTCCATTGTCCCATACAACTTTGTTTTATGTTGACCAATGCTTGGCTTCAAAAACAAAGAATGTTCCTTGTTTTCAAGGCCAAGTTAGCCCTGTTGCAACTGGTACCACCTTGCGGGAGCACAGGTTCAATGTTGAATCTTAGTTTGAAGCTTCTTGCATAATATATGATATACTTTATTATAGCTTTGCCCTCTTTTATATAGTCTGCAGATACTACTGGCCAATTAAAAACATTAAATAATATCAGATATATTATTTGTCATTATTTATTTCAGGTAATTAAAGCTTCTGTAATTGAAATTCATAGTCCTCCTGAAGTACAGAAATCTGCATCTGGTGGATGGGTGTAAGTATTATCATCATCCATTCTTTCCTATGTCTTTATTAGATATTTTCTAAAATACTTGGTAAAGATCTAAAATTCTTTTAGTGGAACATCTGCAAACTATGACTAAGAGCTCTGAGTCATATCCAGACAATTAAGTTTGCATTATTATTATTCCAAATTGATTTTAGAATGAATAATATCAAATATTATACAGTGTAAAGTTTTATAGAGATGTGATATGTCAGAATTGCCATAAGATTATAATGGAACTGAAAATTCATAACTGCCTGCACCTTTTCTATGTTTAGATCAAAACAATATTATTGATTTGAATATAAAATAAAAAAGAAACAAATAACTCATGCTCGTTTAATAATGCCCAAGGTTTAGCAACCTTAGACATTATCACTTTGGCCTCACTGTATCTTGAAAATGAAATTATGGACCACAGTTTTTATTACACTTAATTTCCTAATCTCATATATATGTGAAATGACAAAGTTTAATCAAAATTGACCAATCAAATTTTGAGAACAAACTGAATAGGTTGTTCTGCCTCAATTAAGTTTTTTAAACTCTACTAGAAATTCAACAAGTTAAATTTCATTGTAATTTTAAACATAGGAAAAATATTACATGATACTTTTCTGGTTTTAATGATAAACCATCAATGAAAAATAATTGAGTTCAAGATTATCAAAATTTCCTCACTTTTTATATTATGATGAGTGCTAAATACATTTTATATTTTTCAGGTTTGAGCGTCAATATAAAGATGTTACAGTATTTAATAAAGAATGCCCAGTAGGTAATTTATTTGCCATAAGGTAAGTTTTTACGCTATAATTTAACTAATTTTATCCTGTTGTCTTATTAATGCTATATACATTGTAAATTTAAGTTATCTCAGTAAGGCAATTATTCCTATGTCTCCAAATCTTGTGTGGTCGGCACTTCGAAGCCCATTAAGTAGATACATGTATGACGAAACTATAAAGGTATTGACGATTTACTTAGTTTGCTACAGTATTAAAAAGTAACTAATTTATGCTTTATTTTCAGAAAATAACAGTCCTTCAAGATTTTCCAAATGGTCAGAAAATTTGTAAGTATAAAATTGGATATTTTGATTTTTAAGTGAATATTGTTAATTTTATATTACAGTATTTGTTTTATTTTATTTTACTAGTGCATACATTTCATGAATCTACAACATTACTGAAAAAAGATACACAAGATTTCTGTCTGCTTCATACTGAAAGAATGGAAGATTCAAAATTAATTGTGGCTGTTCAGTCAGTGGAATATGAGAAGTGTCCTTTAATGGAGGATGTCATCAGAGGAATGGTACATTTACTTATTTTTTCATATAAACGTGATAGTTTTTTAGAATATAGATTTATAATCATGTAAATTGAAATATTTGGATGAGTCAGGGTAGCCATTCAATGAAAATGGCTACCCTGTATTTTTGGTAATATTTTTTTTATTTTAATGTAATATCCACCAGAGTTAAGACAGTTGTCCTATTGCTATAGGAATCATAGTAGGACACTGCATAATCTGGCCAAAACACTATCCAAATGGAGATTGTTGTACTTCAAGAATGGAACTAACTTCTTCCTGATACATTCTGTTAATGCAAAGTTTAAATGGTGCAATGAGAGCTTATGGCTACCTAAACTTTGTTGAGAACTTCTCCTGTCATAACACCTTCTAACTGCTTCACAGTATGCTTGGGTGCAGAAATTCTTTTTCTAATAACATTCTTTTCTTTAATTAATGTCCTACACGTGTGTGTAGGATATTTTGAACATTTGATCCAACTTATGGAGCAATTGGCCCACCTTACTGATAGTTGCATCAGTTGACTGCTTATGCTTTGCTTTGTTTTAGCCATTTTAACCTTTTCCTCTTGCTTTGGTTCTTGATATAATTCAGATAAGAAACTCTCATGCAACAGAAAAATCTACACATTCAGTTTCTTTTTGCATACACCTGTGCAGAGGAAGTTATTTGGAGTTTTAGTGTACACACCTGCAAATATTATACTGATGATACTTATATGATGATTAAGCTTTCTTGAACCATGGAACACACACATTAAACAAAGATGAAATACACTGAATTGAGTAGAGGTAAGATGCCAATTAAATGCTACACACATGTACATTACAGCACAGTGGTTCAGTCCATTCTGCAACACAGAATGTGAATCACTTTCATTGACTTCAAAGTAACTGTAAAATATCTTAAAATCTAAGGCTTCAATTCATAAAAAGTCCACAAAATGCTTTACTAGAGCTGAAAATACATTTAAACGATATCCCAAGCATATTTTTTATTTGTAGTTTTTCTATGTCAATTATTAAAAATTTCATTCACTGCGGGACAATTTTGAAATATTTTTTCATCAAAAGGAAAACATATTATTTATAATTTAATTATGTAACTTAAACACATTACAAAAAAAATGTCAGAAATTATGTAAATATAATATAAAATTATTATTTTGGTAACCACTAAAAAGAGGTTTATAGACAAAAGAGCAAATTTGTTATGTGCTTCTAATCCGACACTCAGAAGACAATTTTAATTCACACGCATTTCGGATTGGAGTTTTAGTGGTTACCAAAATAAGTGATTGTATCTGGCAAATACTGCTGCTTTTTTGTTTTATATTAAATGAAATGTACTACTATTTTCATTTTATTTTTAGTTATTACCAAGTGGTTGGATAGTTGAATCATATGAAAATGATGAAAATTGTTGTGTTGTTTCATATTTAATTCAAGTAAGTTAATTTACTATTGCTTGAAATAAACTTTTCGGGTGATTATAGCAAATCTTAAAATTTGTATTATGTTGAATGTTCAATGAAAGTGCACCAAGAAATAAAAAATGCAATTATCAAGTCGTGTACTTGGGGAAACAAATTTTTCACTCAAAATGTTTCCTATGATCTTTTTGCCTAATAATAATGTACATACTTTAAAGGAAGAAGGTAAAATTTTAAAAAATAAATATCTAACATAATTTATTAAGCATAATTTTAGAAAATTGTTGGCAAAAATCTCCTATTTCTCGTATGTTGTTGTTCTTGATTATTGTGTTCTTCTTGCAACGTTAATTGCAATAATCAGAGTTTTTCTGTTTTATCAAATAATTATTGAAAATTCCACTTAAAATTACAAGTGAAAGAAATTTGTAATCAAACTTTTATTCATGCCATCTAATTATGTAGAATGTTAATATAATTAGTAAAAAATTTGAATTTTAGAAACTCTACAACATACAACATGAAATGTCATTGAGCTCTACGTATTTATAGCTTCTTTTATGCTAATACAGTAGAGCGTTGTTTATCCGAATCAATTGGGGACTGGGGTTGTTCAGATAACTTTTTTTCAGATAACCAATTATGTAGGAAAAAATATATTAATTTATCCCGTGTTGAAATTTTTCTCCATTGCGTGTTGCTTCGCGTTGAATTTTCGTCGACGTTAAGCCTAATGAAGACTATTGTATCGTTAAAAATTATTTTTTTTATTTTGTACAAACAAATAAATATATTGAAAAATATAAAAATAATAAAAAATTATACTTCAGAAGTTAATTTAGTATCAAAAACGTAAAATATTTGAGTAGCCGAAGACATAGCCAAAGATTACAGCGCCACAGCACTGGCGAAAATTTAAATTTGTCGACTGGAATTCCTTTGGATAGCCGACGTTTCGGATAAATGACGCTCTACTGTATAAGGTAGTCCTCGACTTTCAGACAATTGCTATTTTATACATTTTAAGCTATAGTGCAAGGGTGTTTTCATTTGGTTTCGGTAACAGCAAAATCATGTTTGAAAGTCAATTTTTATTGCCCATTTTCTGTTTAATCTACAGTTTATACAATAGGAAAGTTTTAAAATGCTAAAAGCATTAGAATATATTTATGATTAAAAAAAAAGTAAATATCTTAGAGATTTTATTATTTTTCTTTTTAACTTCCTTTATAACATATAAATCTGTTGCTCGGCTTTCGTACATATTTTTAGAAATGCATTGTCTGAAAGTTGGAGACTGTCTGTTATATAAGTTAATGTTTTTATATATACAGAGATATCACCTTTTATTATCTTAAAATTTTCTCTTTATTACTACTTTTAGATATTATCCAACAGTCCGGACAATCTGGTTTTAACCGAAATTGTCAACACACACCCGCAATGTATCATAAATCTTAGCAATTATTTATCTACTAAACCTCAGTAGTAGTATTTTCTATAACATTTAATTCGCTCATCAAAGTACGATCACATAGTAAGCAATTCGTGCCATTATTTGTATTGCTTATAAGAGTGAAAAAAATGCAAATAATTGTATGTAACTTTTGTAATATAATATTTAAAAACATACACAATTTAACTTACATCAACTTTTTAAATTGATATAAAAAGAAATTATTAAGTAATCATTAGTCATAGTCGAATTTGTTGCTGTAAATATAACGAGCTTTCGCTCTCTTTTTCGCAACTATTTTATTTTTGCAATTAGTTCCAACGTATATAAATATGTCGCATTCCAATATAAATTTTGATTTTCTCCTAGGACATAAATTTCTTTAAAGGTTGTGATTTTTCACATAAACTTTGAAATCTTCCTTTCTTTTTCCATATACAGTGCAGTCTGACTAATTCAAAGACTTGCAGAATGGTTTCTGCAAGTCCATCAACTTGTGATACAAGTCCAAACACATTGTTTGTGAATACAATTGTAAAATTGAAATTCAAAATATTATATTATTATTCAATAACTTTATACTAATAAAATACTCTGCTTTATTTATATCATAAATATGATATATTTAGCATAGGGATATGGAAAATGGCCCGAGAGTACAAAGTGCTCGAGTGTCAAACAAGTGGTTCTTCGACCACTAACAATATAATGGAAGCTTCTGGATTATCTCACATTTACAAATGGGTGGATATACTGCCAGAAATGATCCAGCACCAAGAGAGATGCATTACAAATGCACCTAAGATCTGAATTTTTAAAGTAAGATATATGAAATTTAGTATTTTATCAATATACGGACGCCCGTAGTTAGTCGTACCGTTTATTGCCACGTACCGTACACCCAAATGATTCGAGTCTCTTCATATACTCTCTCAAGTTAGTCAGATAGCACTGTTTTATAAGAAGAAATTTTTAGGATTTATTGCACTCACAATTTACAGATTCATAAACAAGGTATAGATAAACAAAAATCTTGATGTATAGATCTTAGAGAGAAAATAGAATGAATACTAATATGAGTATACATTATTAAAAGTATACATTATTAAAAGAATCCTTAATTGTTTCCATATTTTTAAAAATTCAGATAATTCAACTTTTATTTATGTATAAAATTACATTCCAATTAATATTTATTACATAATCAGTATTATCGTCATATATTGTGATTTTAGAAATCTAAATTGTTATAAACAATTATAAAATTCTAATTTTATTCATCCGACAGATTTCCTGTTAAAATAAAACATATCACAAAAGTTAAATGTAACGAAGCATACAAAATTGTACTGTACATTTTGCATGAATATTGCATAAAAGAAGGAATTGGCTACATAATGAAACATTTTTAAGTAATTTGTATTCATAAATGTTCTAATTGGACATGTGGAAATTGCATTGATACATTATCTACTTATGTTAAGAATGTAGTGTGTGTTTTTTAAAACTGCAACTCTCATTTTAAAAATTGAAATACATACGAAGTACCAATAACTTCTGCGTGTCGTGCAAAGTCTGACTTGCAGCATTGTCAAACTCCTTTTGCTAATTCTCTTAAGTGTTCTACTTTTGTTTGACCATTATATATGATAGAAAATCAACTATTTATCTGATAATTTTTGTTTCTTCTGTTTAGTCAGAAAAGGCAAGGATACCTTTCTGCATTCACAACCAAAGATTGAGTTAGAAGTTAACCAATTACGATTAGCTTCTAACTCTTGATTGTAAATACAGCCATAAGAGATCCTATTCCAGGGATAGTGATCTGTGCAACACTTTCGAGGTATCTGCATTGAATGTTTACATATTCTGTCGTGAAAAGTCTACCAACAAAATACTCGTTTCCGTTATAATCATATTTTCTTTTCACTTATGTAGAATTTATTGTTGTTTAATTTGAGTAATTAAAAAATATCTGACCTAGCCTCAAGTAAAGGTTTGTCAATACTATCCTATCATTTTTGGAGCTGAGCAAAATATGTTGCATGTCATTCCTTGCCATATTATTATAAATTTACATAACTTCTGAGAAAGCTCTCAACTGTTAGAATTCAAAATACTCAACTGTCAAGCATCGGTTTGAGGAAGTGTAATTTGTTTTAGCTTATTTACAAATTATGAAAATGAATTGCATTTTAAAAGACACATCCTACAAAAATAAAGAATATTGTATTTTTATATATATATAATAATCTAACGGTAACTTTGTTTCCTGATTTTTCAACACCTGTTTTCTGTAAGTCATAAGACCAATTACCGAATATTTTAAAGAAAAAGTAATAATAGTAACTGTGTTGTTTATAATATAAAATTTATTAAAGATGTTAAACAACCTATTTGAAAGATTTAAAAAAGTTTTTGCATTAAAACTACAAAGTATAGAATTTATAATATATTAAAATGTATAAAAAATTTAATTCTTTGCAAAGCTTAAAATAAATATAGAAATTAATAGATAATTACATTAAACAGTAATAAATGCACATTTGTCAAATACTTTACAATAATAATTCTGTAAAAAAAAACTGAATTTTTATATTAATTTTTAAACTCCAGTATTTTTTTTATTTATCATATTATATTTTTTACTCAGGGAGTAATTACATTTACTGCATCTTTAATAATTTCTATATATTTTGTCGCATCCAGTTATGTTACAAACTATACAATTATTATTTATGTAATATTAAGTTAATAAATACTTTTGCATAAATTTCTTTAGTCTTTCATTCTTTAAAATAAATTCTAAAAGCTCCTAATGTTCAAATAAAAGAACATTTAAAACATAAGATTTCACTCTAAGAAAACAATTTTCTTTTTTTTTTTTTAGTGTTCTTGAGGATTGGCTGTATAAGGCCAAAAATGTTCTATAATCCTTTAATAGAATTTATCATCAGGAATACTCAAAGCAAATTTTTTTCCATTTCAATAAACTGAATCTATTACTTACCAGAACATCTTGTAATTTATGTTATTGGAGATGATAATTTATATGTCAAGTGTTTGAATTTAAAGGAGTCGGTCTATTTTAATTCCAATTAGATGTTTTTCAAGATTGTGACGAGATGGGACATCTCAATCACATCACATCACATCACATCAGAATTTGATCTGTGACAAGATGTCCCATCTCGTCACAGATCAAATATAGCAAATTTAAAAACTAAACAGAGCAGAATATAAATGGGCTTCAGAAATATGAAGTATGTCGAAGTAACGAGGACAGACATTGTAAAGGTGATTGGATGTCATTAATGTAGAACACACTTTGAGAATCAAAGCGTGTTCTACATTCAAATCCATTTAGTTTTTGAATTTGCTATAGTTGATCCGATGACAAGATCGTATTACCTTAAAAAATTTTAATTCCAAATAAATGTCATTTAAATCATTTATCAATTATTTAACTAATAAAAACTATCAAAATATATGCAAAAACAATACAATAAAATTTAAATTTTAGCATGAAAAATACGAAGTGAAATGTTAAGTGAAAATTTTATGAACAAAAAATAAGCATAAAAACAAAAATTTGTTTTTTAAACATTGTTATAATTAATAATAATGTAAAATCTATTCAATATCAAGGCTAAATATACAAAACTAATAAACAAAACCCCTATAACATTCACTCTTACAGCTTTAATGAAAATGAATTCCACCACGTGGGAAAGAAGTAACCAAAACTAAATTAATTTATACACTACCCTACAATAATGGACTGGACACCAGAGGATTTGCATAAAATCCGACTGCATGTCAGATTTTATTCAAATCCAGTGCTCGCACATGATCCGTGACTCATCATTAGTTCTACGTGAAATTCTGACAATATGTTGAAATGATAGGAACTTGGTGACTTTGAAATAAGTGTTATAATTGTAATCACATTAGTGGCAAGTCTATTCGTGTAATTGCGGTAGAAATATCACAGCCATGGTCAACTGTTGGTTGTGTTGTGGAAGACTACGGGAGTTGGGACACAAACTGCACATGTTGGTCATCCCCATAAACCGACTGAATGAGATTGGCGTGTCCTGAAGTGTGAAGTTCGTAAGAACCACAAGAAACCACTCCAAATCATCAACAGGCAGCAGGGGTTACAATGCACCCCAATACTTTGCGAAAAGAACTGCATGCCCTCAATACCCACAGATGTGTTGCCGCACACAAAACCAAACATCATCCCATCCAGCAAAAGCTAGCAGATTCATTTGGTTTTTGCAACGTCACAACTGGTCTGTTGACCACTGGAAAACTGTTTTATGGAGCGACGAGTCACACTACACGCTCTTCCAGTTGGATGGGTGTGTTTGGGTTTGGAGAATGCCAGGCAAACGTCTGTTATCCAAGTGCATTGTTCCAACTGTCAAGTTTGGTGGTGGTGGTGTTATTGTTTGGGGTGATTTTCATGGTATGGTCTGGGAAATTGAATGCCTATGCCTACATGAACATTTTGGACAATCAGGTTCTTCCTACGCTCTGGCAATTTTATGGAATGGACGAATGTTATTACCAGGACGACAATGCTTCATGTCATATTGCAGCCTCTGTCAAGCAGTGGTATCAAGATACAGATGTCAACCGTTTTCCTTGGCCTGCTCAGAGTCCCGACCTAAACCCAATAGAACATTTGTGGGACGCGTGGGAGCAACGCTTATGGACCAGGGAACCATGTCCGAAATTTACAGCTGAGCTGTCGGCATTCTTGAAGCGAGAATGGACACAAATTCCCATAGCTGTGTATCAAAACCTTGTTGAAAGTATGCCCAAGAGGGTTGCTAGTGTAATTGCAGCACATGGGGAACCATCCTCCTATTAAAGCATGTATTCTTTACCTTATGCCATCACATCTTGCTGTCCAATCCATTACTGTAGGGTAGCGTACATCAAAATCAGTCAAACAACTTCTTCAGCCAATTTTGTCTCAAGTATGCTTGAGGAGATTCCAGCCAATCTTGTGTTTAAAGATTTAATATATTTTCTTTGGAACGATTTAACTTATTCCAAATGGTAATCACTGAAAAATTATCACTATATTAATTTATTTCTAATATCTATATATATAATATATATATATATATATATATAAATGGACATGTATGTCCCTATATTTCACTTTTCCGCCAAAACTACACATCGCACGTGAATGGTGTTTGTATGTGGTGGTAGCCCCAAGTCTCCATTCGTGCATAGGGGTGGTTGCGTCTCGATAGCTATAAGGGTGCGGGAGATATGAGGCTGAAAGTGGTTGAAAGTGGCTTTCTATTTCGAATGTTTTGTTCGAATTTGTTCGAATTAAATTCGAACATAAAATTCGAATATTGGTTCGATTATAGAACGATTGTAAACGTTCCAGAAACGTTGAAAATAGTTCGTTTGACTAAACGTAAAAATTCTCTAATTAGTCTGGAAACGGGGGACCTAATTCTTGCATTCTGTGAAAACGGGTAAGATTAGCTATAATGTAATTATCTTAATCTTCACTATCGTTACTTTTTGCCCAGCGAAGCGGGTCCTTGCAGCTAGATTCTAGATTACTTAGAAAAACAGTCTTTTATATATATAAAAAAAACTATATTACATACAAATAAAAACCCAGCGAAGCGGGATCTTGCAGCTAGTATTTTATAAAAATTAGCCAGGATGAATATTTCTAATACTAGCGAGGTTGATACCGAAGATTCAAACACGAAAACGTGTACGTTGGACGTTTAGTGCCGCTTTCCTGTAAGCCTAGAAGTTTGACTATGGTGTTTGGATAGTCAGTGGAATCATGCTCAACATTCCAAATGCCATTGACAAACTTCTAGGCTTACAGGAAAGCGGCGCTAAACGTCCGACATACACGTTTTCGTGTTTGAATCTTCGGCCTCAACCTCGCTATTATTTCTGTAGCAAAACTTGATGTGGAATTTACTAATTAAAAATTAGTAAATAATAATATATAAATAATATAAATATATAATTAAAAATTAGTAGTTAGATGTTCATCCTTGTTAATTAAGATACATACCAGATATCTTTAGTTCTTTGTGGTTATTGATACAGATGTGGAGAAGATTTTATATATTTTTTTATTTAGGTATAAATTATATTCCTGGTAAGGCATATATATTACACACTATTTTTAATTCAATTTCTCAGTTGGTGTTTTGTTGGCATATCTGTATTGATTCTGCTGTATTTTCTCCTAGAAGGATAGAACATAGAAAACTTTTTATTTTTGAAAAATTCAATATTATGAGGCATAATGATGAAGAACATTTCAAGAAGTAAAAACTGACTCTGATTAATTTCATCATAATCAAACAGAAAACATTTTAAGAATTTATTTATATTCATTATTTGAAAAATTGACTTCATTATGTATTTTATTCCATATTAAAAAATTTACAATTGGAATAAAATGGAACATTCACTTAAAGTACAGGGGGGGAAAAATGGGAATGTTGTTGACAGTATTATAACTGAGATATAACACAGTTTTTTACATTTATTTTACAATTCTACTAAAGAAATTTAAAATATGTATTTATAAATATTCACAATTTTACTGTTATATCATTTTTGCACTAACGCAAAATGCATATATTTAAGTGGCAGTTCGATGACATTACAACTAAGGCACAAATCAAAAATTACAGTTTATTGAGGATCTAGCCGATTGCAGAATTATGCAACCTTGCTCTTCTCTAAAATGCCATTTGGTACGTCACCTTATTAGTTACAGTATATAAAATACACAACTTACAATTATAATAAATCATAATTTTTTGCTTCATTAAGAGCATAAATTTAATGACTATTCTCATTTAAACAACATAGCATTTTAAAATAAGACATATTATATGAAGTTTTAACATTCTATTATTCACAAAATTTATTTTTGTAGGAAGTAAAGAATTTTATCGAAGGGAATCAATAAAAAGATTGTCTAATCCACTTCTTGAAACACAAAACTGAGATTAAGCTTGCGATCACTTTGTTTTGTATGAAAAAAAAAATTATTTTTCAGCATACAGACCAGACTATCATTTATCACCTCATTTTCATTGTCACTAATATTATTCTCTTTAAAATTCCCATTTGCTCAAATACTAATGTTGCATTAAACTGATAGTGTGCCAACCTCTAATTTTCAAAATCATCATTAAACATAACAAGTGGTTCGATACGATGCGAGTGTATACAAAACAGTGCCTTTTACATCATTTATTTGCTACGCATAAAGCTAACAGAATTGAAAATCACTTCTAATAACTATCTATTATCATACGGTACCACAGTTAATATTGCAGTAGTACATATAAAAACATCTGTGTTACAGAAGTATTATTATTATAAAACAAAATATTTCAAAAAAGAGAAGGCACTTTGTCTCTGCATAATTTAGAAGTATTGTGTGACGGCATCTTTTTCTCTCTGACGAGACGTGGGACGTGCATACTTAACATCTCAATAATTTTGTGACAAAGAATAAACATTTGCTGTCTTAAGGTGGCTCGACATATTTGGTATTTGCCGAATGCTGAGCAAACATCTGGCCAATACCAAGTAGTGTGGATGAGTTACTCGTGACTTCACACAACAAATATTTGGTGTATCATGCCGCATCAGAGAACAAATATTGGCCAAACATTCATAATTCGCACAATGAACCGATGTGCAGCAGATAATTGTATGTGTGTACATGCGTGCTTGTCTCGTGACAAACGCTTCAGCAAATACTTTGGCGAAAGGCAATTATTCGGCACTTGGAATACCAAATGTGCAGAGCTGCCTTCAAACTAAAACTAAAAAGCTTACATCTTTAAATTATGACTAGAATATTTGTACAAACAATTAAAACTGTAAAATTTGGTAAATTTACATATAATAGTATGTATTAAAAAGTGATTTTATGCAAATAATTATACTAGAAGTTCTAATTTTCCAAATCTAACTACTTAATATATTGCATATATATATATATAATCTTCATTTTCAATATCTTAAGATTTGTTAAATTGTTTATAATATAGAAATTAATTTTTAAAAAAATTTCTTTTAATCAAAATGAATATTTTATAACTATCAAAGTGTAAATGTTTGCATTATAAATTTAATATTTTTATTCTTTTTAAGTTGATTTAAAATACGACAATAACAACGTTAAGCTTAGAAGAGTACCAAATGTATTTATTAGATTTTAAATGGCAAATTCTGCTGAATTTAATTAAAACAATTTGGAGATACTGTAGTCTTTACATGAAATGATCATGCATTATTCAAAACTGATATATTAATCTACCAGTTTTGTTGAATAATACAAGATATCATTGTGATATGAATATGTTAAATAAATTTTTAAAATATGTTGGAAAAAACTGCAGTAAAGTTTGGTTTTAAATTCTATTTTTTAAGAAAATTTTCAATAACAACAACACTCATGTCTGTGAATATCAAATATGGGAATTGTAAACAAATTTTGATTCTTTGGAAATGCATTGAAAGTTGTACTTAGGCACATACAGTTTGCTTAAATAATGCTAAATATTCAAATTTTAGGTAACATTTAAAGATTGGATAACAAAATAATTTAAACTTAATATTCTCTATGGCATCGTCTTCAGTCAGCTGGCCTGGAGACAGAACTGTAACATATAAAATTATGCCACGTTCAAAAACTTATTTTCGATGTCGGCACGACACATTGGACAAATCTGGAGGGTTTCTCCGCAACTCCAACAACAACAGACGTGCCCACATGGCAGAAAGACAGCTTGACTCTATAAATAATTAAGAAAAATTCAAAATTTTAATTCTTAAGTTAATAAAGAAAAAATAAAATTATCAAAACGATACTTTACTTCTTTTTCCAAACATACAACACATTCCACTTGGTACCATATTTTAATTTCGGCAGTTGGAGTTAAAATTGGAGCCGAAGGTACCACACACTCTTCTTCGCCGGGAGAAGCAGGAGGAGCAGAAGGCATTGGAACATCATTTGGCAAAATTCCAGTTGAACTACAGTATTAAGATACAATTTTAGTCATTAGAAATTTAAATAACTTACAGTTTTGTTTCACATTTAACAAAATGCTTATTTTCAAACAGTTAACATAAACAACATAATTTAGAATATAGTTTTTTGATCTCATAGGCAATTTAGTGAGGAAATTCACTAATCAATTTAGCAGTGTCTTGCCCCTGTACATCATACTTTTCCTGTTAACAATGAAGTCATTTTGCTTAGGAGAAAATTTTTTAATTGAAATAACATGACTTTTAACCCAAAGCAAAAGTTTGTATATAGTTAGTCAGTGCCTCCTGGTCTTGACTTTCATCTATTTAACACCATTTTTGAGATTAAGAAAGGACGAACAGATGAAAATACAAATATAGAATATGTATATATAAAAGTAAACAAAAATATTTTATTTTTGAATATAATAATTAAATCAGTTATAAAAACACTTACATTTTTTCTTCATTAGGTTCAATATTCTTTTTAAAGTAATTATTGGCACTTTTTAAAATTTTATCACAAGCACTGTCTTGTCTTACACCAAGCTAAGATAAAAAAATTTTCTAAATTAGCATATAAATTTAAGTCATTTTAATTAATTATCAGAAAGTGTTGAGATAGAATGAATTACCAAGCTACATTACTATAATTTTAAAAATATGCAATATAAATGTTTACTCATTTTCATTAACAGTATTAATCGTTAAATAGAGCATAAGGCAAATATAAGAAAATAAAAAAACAGAAACATCAGAGTTCAACTGTGTTGAAAATTAACACAAGGAAATTGTTCTGATAATTTATATGATACAGAGTAAAGAATGCTGATGAAACATGAAGAGAAACTCTTAAGACTGACAATAAATATATCTCAAAAGGAAACAATACAGCAATCTATATAATCAAGAAGTTATCATTTTACAATTAGTCTGTTAATCTTGACTATAAAATTTCTCCAAAATCATAAACATGCATTTAAAAAATATTTTTTTAATAGTTCTAACATCAAAAACTCTTTGTAACTTAAAATTTTTAGTGATTTTTATAGTTAATAAATTATAATACAAACTGAATACATAGATTGAAATATATTTAAACTTAATATTAATTAAAATTAGTCAGGCAGTTTAAACTATATTCAATTCTTGAAAATTTTAAACATGAAAAATTTGCAGAAATATTGATGTACTATTTGCACAAAAGATCTGGAAAAAGGGAGATATATCAAACACTCAAGAGTTCTGCTGTTTTTCTCCTAACTTTACTGAATTTCTTTCCAATGATCTTAGAATGACTGAATTTTAAACTTTCAATATAAATTATCTATAAATTTGCATTATAAAAATGAATATAAAAAACAGTATCTATAATTCCTGAATACATATAGAACAATACAATTCTAAAATTTCTGAATAGCTCAAGCAATACAGCATTAGCTTATTTTTGAAGAATGGCATAGGTTAGTGTCTTGGTTGATGCCAAATTTTTCTTAAATCTATCTTTGCGCAATTTTGAAACCCTTTTCACATGAGCCTACAGAACTCTTGAGTGCCAACATACTCAGATGGTTGAGGCAATTAAAGAATATGCCTACTACTCTTATTCAACCCAGACTCAAAATCCACATTAGCTTCATTGTTATTTTGGGAAAGACTATAGAATTTTCAGTAATCTATCATCATTAGGCAAAAGAATAAAATAACTAGAAGTTAAGTACAGATATTCCTGAATGCTAGCAGAACATGTTAATTTTAATTTTAACAATTTTTATGAAGTACATAAAATTTTATAAAATCAGTAAAGCTTTTACAATTATTAGATAATCTAACAAAATATGAAAAGCTAATAAATTTTACAATGTAGGAAGAAAAGTAAAGTTTACAAATTAATTTGGATTTTTGATGAGATAATCTAACACTCAGATAAAGGAAAAGCGATCTGATTATAAGAGTTGTTACATATATTTAGTATTTTCCAAATGAAAAGCAAATTAAAATCGGAGCAAGGCTGTAATAATTAGAGTCAAACTAAAGGAGATTCCAACTATCTAATAAGCACAGACTTAATTAATTTAGTAGCCTGCCTAGCATGTTTAATGTCTGCTTTATATTCTCTAAACTGTATGGTTAACATATAGAAAGCAACACCTATATAATACTTATGAACACTCATAAAAAGGATACAAAGGGAAATTTTGTAACCTCCTGATTTTTCACACGATGATAAAGGATCTCTCTACCATCATTAAAAAACCTTCTTAAGAAAGGTTAAGATATTAAGCAGCTAGTTTTTCGAAATGAGTGTACTAATTTTAGTGACACAGCCTAAATATGGAACAGAAAATTTCATTGCTGGTACATAGTAGAGCAAAGAAAAAGCAAAAGCAGTACTTTAAGCTTGAGAAAATTAAATTTACTAAGAGTATAATATATCTTCAAATAAATGAATATCAAATGTATTTGAAAATATAATTTATATTTATTAAACATTCATTAAGAATTTTATTTTTTAGTGCTAATAATGAACTAGTTTGTCAGGAAATACTAAAAATTTTTATGTATTGATCAGTTTTTCACTTCTGAAATAAATAAAAATGGTTATAAATGAGACTTCTGATCTTCACACTGTTAAACTATACTAAAACCCATAAAATTAGAGATCTATAAAAGATCTGGATCTTGTTGAAACTAAAAAGAAAGAACAACGAGCAATTATTTTTGTGACAGTCACAATGCCAGACTGCAATTTTTAATATGTTTAATTTATTTAATTTAAAATATATGCTCTTAGTAGTAGCTTGCCCTTCTACATCACATGTTTCCTTTAACAATTAAAGAATTTCAATTCAAAAATTTTTACCCACAAAATCTTTTGGGGGAAATTTTTGAATTGAAATAACATGACTTCCAGTTTGTGTAGGACATTTGTATATATTTTTATTTATTTAATTAGACATACTAGGCAGAGCCCATGATGCGGGTCATTTGTATATAGTTAGTCAGGGCCTCCTGCTCCTAAGGTTTCCATATCTGGTCCTGTCTTTCATCCATCTAACTCTGTTCTCAAGACTAAGGAAAGAGAGATGGATGGATGACAGTGGAAATTTATAGATCTACAATTTTTTCAAATTTCGGCCCAATGAAAAACATTTAAACTCTAAAGATTAGATAGAATAGAATCATTAGGATAATATTAAAGTACGTATTGAAATTAGCTCATATATCGTAAAAGTACACAAGACTATTCTATTAAAGTAACTAATTTAATTTAGATCATGTTAAAAATTAAATTAATAAATCATACTTTTAATGTGATACAAGATAATATAGTATCTTGGATCACATTAAGTATCTACAGATGTATGAAATTATTTTAGATTAAAAATAAATAAATAACCTTTAAACAAACATAAATACCTTTTTCAACTCTTTTTTTGTCATTGAGAGTAAGTTATGTAAAGTAATGTGTTTTGCAGCAAATAATGTTAGATAGTCTTGAGCTTCAGCATCAATTAAGATAGACTGAATAGCAGGATCTAACATTCTCTCCTGAAATGCAGGATAAAGATTGAAATTTAGTTATTTCATTTAAAAATAATAATATTAGTTAATAATGTTTATAGAAAATGTATGTATTAGCAAAATACAGAGTATGTTTTTAAATAAACTGTTATTAAATTTGCTGCCAATATTTAATTTAGTATCAGATATGAAATTGTTGTAATAACTTCATTGTAAAACAAACCTAAACTGCCAAATTATTTTAGATCTATTTAACATAACTGTTGACATGCCTAACTATTTGCAGATTCAAGTTTTGCTCTAGATCAACCTTTTCTTCCATAATTTTCTAAATTACTTAATTTAATATTTAGAAATTAAATATGAATTTAACATGTAGTTTGTACACATTCTCCTATAACATTTAGTCTCTCATTATTTTGTTTTTTTTAAGTTCTTGATCTCATCAATGGTCTTCATCTGTCTGTTATTACAACTACTTCCTTTTTTCTTTTCAAGCTTTTCCAGTGCTTTTATCTCTCTCACAAGCTTTATCTTCCTTTTTTCTCTTATATGCCACAAGAGCTTTTTCTCATTGGGTAGCTGCATTCCTAGCTGCTAGAATCATCCCTTTAAGTATCATCCTCAGAATTTAAATAGATACAGTAGAGCCTCGAAAACTCGGCCTAATGTGGACCGAAGGGTGGCCGAGTTTGTGAAAATGCCGGGTTATCGGGAATGGGGTTAAAAAAGGATAAGTTTCCTCAGAAAATATTGTACTATACTTGTATGTATTGTTTGCTTGAGAATACAACAGAGAATAAACTGCCCAAATACCCTTAAATAAAGGAAAAGTACGTCCTTTATGAAGGCATAGAGCCTTTACTACATGAAAATGAAAATTAATGAATACACTGTGTACAGTAATTTACCTGATAAGACAGACCTCAGAAAAATACTTTATGAGGCATAAAGCTGTCTATGATGAAAATTAATTATCTAAGGGTATTTTTGCCCTGTCAAGGTATGGCCGAGTTATCCGGAGTGCCGGGTTATCGAGTGCCGAGTTTTCGAGGCTCTACTGTATTAAGTATTTTAAATAATAGTAGACATCTTGGTACTAAAATAAGTTTGCTCTTCTTTTATTTCAGATGTTTTCAATGTTTTTTAAACATTACTAGTGTAGAAATATAATCTCATACTTGTTAATTACTTAAATATGTGTTGTTCAATTGCAAAAAACTGTTGTAATTTGTTTAAAATATAGGTGATCATTATTAAAGAGTAGGTGTTCAGAGCTTTTTGTAGAAAAACTATTGGGCAAATCTCTATCACATTTGATATATATATATATATATCCCGATTATGCAGATTTGATTTGGAGAAAAACACTTTACTTCAAAATTCAGACAGTAGAGCAGTGTTTCCCAACATGGGGCCCACGTCCCACGGGGCAACTGGATTGTTAAGGGGGTAGTTCAAAAATGGACTCGTCCAGAGTTTAAGTTAACCATATAGCTGCTGTATATGTTAGGGAGACATAAGAATTTTAGAAAGACTTAGATGGGGCATAGCACAAAAAAGGTTGGGAAACACTGCACTAGAGCAAAGGTGCTGCATTTTCCTTAATGTGTATATTATACATTTTCTAATGAATTTTGAGTATAAAATGAGTTATTAAAAATTGTGAAGAATGTTTTTAAGTAAACAGTTATGGTGCTCACTTTGCCTGATCATGTGTTACTTGTTAAATTCTTCTATCAATGCAACAGCAGTAGTAGCTTCATCACTTTCACTTCAATAATTTATGATGAGGTCCTCTCATTATTGAAAATCTTAGGAAGATGATTTTGTATTTAACTTTTGGTTATGTGGCTACCTAAAGAGTAATTTATCGTGGCGCTATTCCTTACCCAACTGTTTCAAAAAACAGAATTTCACAACATATGTAACAATTCCACGCAGGTCAGTTGATTTTCATCACTGAATGTGTTTTGCAGGAATTCATTTTTTATAGCATGAAGATGGAGAGAACATAGAGCCATATTTGATGTAATTGTAAATTCCACATTTGTAATCACATCTGAAAATTATTGCATTTTATTTCTTAACTCCTGAAATTTTTTACAAAATGTACATAATAAGCTCAGTAAGACAACAGCAAGGTCAAATTTTGCCCTAGTGATTAAATTTTAAAGTAAAATCTTTTCCTGAAAACTGAAGTTACCTATTCAGGACAATATATCAAATTTAATTAAGATTTGTTCAAAAGTTCCTTTCTACAGAGAGCACTGATCACCTACACTTTACAATCACCCTGCATTTTATTTGTCGTAACAGTGGCTAGTCTCTTAATCAGCAGAAAATTATTTTAAATTCAGGTGAATACATTGACATTTACATATTAAAATGCTAATGAAAATACTTTCCAAGAGAAAAGTGATACTCTAATTCAAGGCTCTCCAACCTTTCTTGAGAAGGGCCACGCAAGCTGTAATAAACAACTCTGGTGACAAAGTATGAAAGATGTAGTCAAAGATTAAGATTTCTTTATTTCTGAATAACAATGGACATAAATCAACATGAGATAACTACTTTTTCAAAAGAATTTCATCAAAATTGGGGATAAATTTTGCAGCACCCAATATTAAAATCTTTAGTTTGTTGCAGGTGATGCTCAATATTTTGATTATAAATTTCATTTTCAAAAAGGTATGAAAGTACACAGAAAAAAAAATATTCTCCATGCAAACTTCTTCAAGACTTTTAATGTTTGATTGTGTTTGTTTGTTAATTTATGGCAATGCAACACTTGGGCAATCTGCCTAGGAAGATGCCTTCCAGGAGGTGTTTTTAAGAGTAACTGGCTTCTATTCAGACATTATAGACATGGAGAAAACCCAGAAAACTCCACGTGGCCAGCCTGTCCTGGCGAGGTGCAAACCCATGACCGAACTCCCAGTGTTTAGGGAATGGAACCGCTTGGCCACTGGTGGGTCCAAGACTTTTAAAATTCTCTTTCACCAAACAGATGTAAAAATTTAACAAACTTTCTCCTTTAAATAGATTTTTATAAAATCATTTGTAGCAAGGTCTTTTATTATAGTGAAATTAATTTTTCTAGTTTGAAGGTTGATGCTGAAACATGTCTGTGAAAATGAGTTATGCAGCTGGATAATGTGTTTCAGAATTGAAGATGCATAGGTTGGTGACTCCTACTCTAAAACCTTATAGCAAATTATCAATAATGTTGATTATTTTTATAAAATTCTTACATTGTTTATAGGGTAATACAACACTTTACTATGCCATGTACAAATAATTTTAATATAACAATCATTTTCTCCTTATAAAAACTTACTTAAATATCAACTATACATTAATTATAATATTTTTAAAAATAAATTTTAAATGAAATATTATAAATATAATATTAATACAGAGATAAAGAAAAACAAAATTTACCAATTCTTCAATATGTTGTGGTTTACGATCCATTAATTTTTGATACTGGATCAACCAAAAATCATTCATTTCTTGTTCTCTTTGTAAATCCATTTGGTGCTAAAGTTAAAACAAAATATTGTGTTTATAAAATTAAAATTTTATAACAAAATAAAATTTTATAAAAGTTAAAATCAGATTTGTACTATAAATTAAATTTTTATTTTTATAAATTTATTTTAATATTTCTTACTATACGATCTTTTAGTTCAGCTTCTCTCATTTCCCTTTGTTCCATTAAACATGATAAAAGTTCAGCTAATTTAGATCTTCTTTCAGCCAAGACATTCTAATTATAAAAATTTTTTAACAATAGTTACAAGTTATTTCACTAAATTTTCACAAAGTTGTTATAAATAATTTTTAATTACTTAAAATATTGTTTAAATTTAAATATTTAAAAATAATTTGTAATCTGGTGATCCCCTATCATGTCTCCCCTTGTTTGGATGGAGGATTGATTATTTGTGTTGTGTATCTTGATGGGATTTTCTCATCTGAATCCTGTGGCTGATCCAACACAAGAGGGACACTCATCAATGCCAAGAGGCATGGCTAGAGCTGAAAAGTATAATGGTAAGTATAATGAAAGGTATAAAGGTATAGACAGTATAATGGGTCCCACAAACAATTTCCTTGAGACACCAGATGACCCCACTGTACTCAGTCTTATGTCTACATTGCGGTTCTGTAGATGTTGACCATATATTTTCCCTATGTTACAACCCACATATGGTTTTTAAATCTAAAAACATATGTGAGGTGTCTATTGGCAGTTCTCTAACAGGAAGCTGGCTGTTTCTTAGCCTACTAGTAGGCCTGCTGCCAGTTTAAGGTTAGTAGCCTAAGAGCTTAGTAGCAAGCCTGCTGCTGCTGATTCAAAGGAAGCTCCCACTAAGGGTAAATCATTATGTTAAGATTTATCCAAATCAATCTCCAACACTGCAGAGTGGCTTCTGCAGTACTGAGCCATCATGTAATGACTGACAACATTGATATAGCCCTAACACACCAGCATTGGGTCTTCAGGATCAAGTTAAAGGCTTGTCTACCTTAAGTAACATTTTCTACTATCACTTATCAAACAAGGGTCCATGATTTGTAAGAATGACACTTAAGATTTTCTTTGAAGAAAATCTCATCATACTCACACGGGCAATGTCAGTAAACTGTATATTGGAAATATGGTTCTGTAGGGTATGAAATAAGTGATAATCAGCTAGTGCCAAATCTGGGCTAAAAGATGAATGAAGCAGAACTTCTTGCAAAGAGGGAATTGGGATCAGTCAAAGCATGGAATACAGGGATAAAATCCTTAAAACCCCAAATTTCAAGGAGAAAGTGGACTTGGCTTTCCCAACATGAAGGATTTACATTTTCCCATTGTTCAGTTTTAACTTTTTCTGACACGGCAGATTTTCTTCTTCCAATTTCTTATGGTCACTCTGTGCATTTCTTTTTTCTCCATGCTAGTGACATTGTTGTCACTGAAATGCCATCATCTCTACCTTTGTTCTGCCACTTTTATTGTCATCCGTCCTCCGACCAATCATTGACATCTACTTCTAGACTTATCAATGACATTGTCCCAAGGCTGCTGACAACTCATCAATAATCCACTATCAACAATGTAGCATCTTTGGACTCTCCCTTAATATCATCATATGAGAAGGAGCATCTCATTAAAAGACTTTGTAAGTTATCAGTTTATTTCCAAATAAATGGGTTTCATTTGTAAAGGTGCTTTGCCTCAGTATGTCCACTATCACCCACATACCCTTATTCCTCATTTGAAAACTTCTTGTTTGTAAACCTAACACTTATATAGACAAAGCAACAAAATATCAAATATTATAAGTATTAATAAAACTATCATAAAAAAATTCAATTACTTAGCATGAATATTTTAACAAACAGCTCTTTAAACAAGCAAATACATAAATTTTAATATTTACCAATTCAAAATTTATCTTAAGATCTTTCTTTTTCAGTTCTGCTGTTGTGAGCTTAGTTAATTCTTTCTGGATTTGTTTTATCTGAATTTAAAAAAAATATTATTATAAATTAAAAATTTACTTATTCAGATATAATATTGTATATTTTAAATACAATAAATAATAATATTCTTACGTTATTTTTAAGAATTTTAAAAAACAAAGTTTTTTATTATAATTTTGATAAAATATAACACAGCATTAAAACACTTTAAAACTTTCTTTATTATGAAAATATGGATGTACTGAAATTATAAAAATATTTTTAATTTAAATTTTACATTATCTATTTACAGTAGAACCTCGATTATCCGACCCCCGATTAACCGACACCTCGGTTAACCAACCGTCCTAGTCGGCAAATTTCAAATGTCCGTTAGTGATATGGCGCTACAATATTTGGCTATGTCTTGGCTACTTTAATATTATTTTTACGTGTTTTAGCTGGCAACACTCATTCGACCATGAAAGGGAGCCAGTATTTAAACGAGGCTTAATTTTCTAATTTTTAACAATACAATAGCAATGATTATTATTTTAAAAAATTTTTGTTAGGCTTAACATTGATGAAAATTCAACGCGAAGTAGGTTAATAGCAATAAACTAATATACTAATTACATGGGATATAATAATATACTACACTAATAATGGATTTTTTCATACTTTTCGGTTATCCGACTTTTCAACTATCTGACCAACCCCAGTCCCCAATTGGGTCAGATAATCGAGGCTCTATTGTGTTTGAATCTTTATCATTCATATTTGTATTTTCTATAACTTCTTATAGCAGTTTAGAACTGTACTAGCAGGATATCACAGCTATGCTTATACAAAATTTTAATAGTTTTTTTTATAGTACTACCAAATTCTTTTGTCCTGGACATAAGTATTACTACAATTCATTGAGAAAAATAACAGAAAATATTAAAATAACAATATTTTATTTTAAAAATGTCAAGTGTTGTATACAATACTTCATAGACATCATCTACAGGTAAAAGTTTGGAATTTCTTAGATAAACATAAGTATTTCCTATTCAAAACATTAAAAAAATGGATATTTTTTCCATATTTTTCCTTGTATCAAATTTTAAAATAATATAAATTCTGAACTTTAAATTTCTTATAAGATCAAATAAAATTGCTTAAAATTAAGTAAGAAATAAAAGATTGATATTTAATGGGTATTAGCATCACTGATTTTTTTATACTCTTTGTGTAGAAAAAAACAGTTAATTATTATGAGATCTCATTCTGCAAAAGATATTAAGAATGCACAAATTGCTTTAGATGATATTTAATAATGTGTTTGAAGGTATACTTGAAAATAGAAAAGTGTATGTGTATACACATACTACTGTGCTCAAAAAGTATCAGGAATGGCTCATTTAAACTGCATGTGTGCAAGAGGACACTGTCATCATTTTCCATCATTTGGTATGACTTTCAAGCAGCAATCCATATGTCATCATCTGTTTTCATTTGCAAATAAGTGCTTGTTTTGTGTGCAAAGAAATTTTGTGCCCACAATATTTCAAAATGTTGAGTGTAATTGAGCAAAGAACATGCATTAAATTTTTTTTGCAACAGAATTACTGCTACAAAAACATTAGAAATGTTGCATAAAGCCTTTGGTGGTGATAGTCTATCAAAAACCAGAGATTTTAAATAGTATAAGCTGTTTGAGGAAGTCAGAGAACACACTAAAGATGAACCATGCTATGGTAGACCACATCCACTTCAACTGATTGCTCAAGTCAGAGATCTAGTGATCACTGAATATTGTTTAACAATTAGGGACATTATATGAACATGTTCCAGTTTTATTTGGATCTTGTCAATCAATTTTAAAAGATCATTTGGGCTTGTGGCATGTTGCTTCTCAAATCATAAAATTTTTTCCATGAACATATTCAAGTGTCCAAGGAAATGCTTTTTCAAAGTGAATTTTTCTTAAAACACATCATTACAGGTGATGAATATGCTTTTGACACCAAAACAGCTCAATTATCAAGTAAATGGTGCCTGAAAAAAGTAAAGTGAGGCCAATCAAAGTTAGTAAAAAATCAAGGTCATATTGGCCATTTTCTTCAATTGTTGTGGTGTTGTGCATCACAAATTCCCTCCAACTAGCTAAACTGTCAACAAAGAATATTATTTGATCATTTTGCATCATTTACGTAAAGCAATTTGTAGAAAATAATCTGATTTGTGGTGAGAAAACTCATGGATTTTGCACCACAATAATGCAACTGTTCACAATGCCCTTGTTAACAATTCATGAATTTTTGGCCAAGAATTCAACAAGTCAGTCAGTCAGTCAGTATCATTTATTAAAGTACAAAGTACATACTTGGTGTCGCATTAAGCATGACCAAGGTAGAATACAAGGAGATACCAAAAGATATGTGACAGTGAATATACAATAGAGTGATATAAAATATAATAATAATACATAAAACAAACCTAAGCACTACAAAATACAGAAAAAACAAAACAATACAAATGCAATACATAACAGAATAAAACAATACAGATACAATACATGACAAAACAAAAAAGTTACAAAGACAAAACATAAAAAAATAAAAATAAAAAAATAAAAAAACTGCATTCACCTGATATGACATCTTGTGACTTTTTCCTGTTTCCTCAACTAAAATTTCCATAAAACAAAAGTTGCTGCAAGCCCAGAAGGAGAGTTTCATGAAAATGACTTTAAAGCATGTTTTGAGAATTGAAAAAAAAACCTTTGGCATACGTGCATTGCAGTGAGAGAAAATTACTTTGAAGGTAATGAAATAAAAGTTAATGAATAAGTTCAAATCTTGCATTTTATGAAATCATTCCAATTCTTTTTGATCACAGGAGTTTATACACATATACTTGTCTAAATTTGTGTGTTTGTGATATATGTATTGTATATTTACTATACACAATTGAACTTTGATATAATGAATTGCCTCCAAGATGTAATATTTTTCATTGAAATTGAGAAAAATTTATAATTGAAATAATAAGAACTTTTAAATTTAAAATTAGCAATTTTTACAAGTTTTTTAACTAACATTTATGTTAATTTAAACAATAATTCTAACTTCATTAATAATAAAAATTTCCATTCAGAATTTTTTCCTGCTGATGGAATCTTTCTTACTGTTTTGAATGTGTCAAAAAGTTCATCATTTGAAACTATCCTCTGATACAGATGTTTTGACATCCTTAGGACTACTCATAATGGCCATCTGATGCCAACAGTTGCAGAAATGAATAAATTTTTTAACCAGTTTTAACCTTTACCAATATAAAACGTAATTTTTTTTTTACTTTATTTGGCTTTCAAAAGTTCATTATATAGATATTAAACTTAATTAAACAGAAACATTTTAATCATTCTATAGAAAGGTTCATTGGAAAGAAAATGAAAAGCCAACTGTGTATATTACAATATGCTATTGTGATAAAATTATCAGAAGAGTAAATCATGTATTTTAAAGTTAACATCTTCAGTTATGCAGTGACAACAAGAAAGATTATGAAAGCTGGTTCTTAATCTATACAGGGTGATCGGAAAATGTCTGGTGAAAATTTAAAGGGGGTTAGAGAGGACAAATATAAAAGGATTCGCAGTACAATGCTTGTCCAGAAACGCCACGTGAAGGTGGTAGAGGGCACTGTGTAGGGCAGTCAAAACAAGCCAGCAATGCGGGAAGCTGTCATTCCCTGCTGTGTTTTCATACAACATGCAGCGCTTCATGAATTCTGAACTAGCAGATATCCATCTGATGTATGGAGTTGCAAATGGAAATGGGAGAGCTGCGCAAAGGTTGGGCTTGTTACATTTGTTTGTCTCTCTTTCCTTTTACCTTTCCATTTTCTTTACTCTCCAGGACTTTCACGTGGCGTTTCTGGACAAGCATTGTACTGCAAATCCTTTTATATTCATCCCCTCTAACCCCCTTTAAATTTTGGCCAGACATTTTCTGATTACCTTGTACATATAATCAAAATGGGTTGATAACGACAATAATAATAATAACTCTCCTGTGGCCACCACCTGGTCGTGGTGGGAGAGTCCAGTAATTTTACTGAACCATAGAGCAATGCAGGCTAGAGCACAAGCTCCTGGTAGGGACACCCATGCCAGTAAGGTCTATGGGGAGAAATGAAGCTAAGAGTGACCACACCCACATTCTGTGGAGATAATTATTATTATGGTAGTAACCAGATCAAAGTGTGATACCGGCACGGATGTCGCCTGGGTTAACAAGGTCCGCGTTCGTGGGTTAGGCAGAGGCTCACGTTCGAAAAATAGGCCACAGTCTCCCTTGATTACCAGTGGCGAAAGCAGCACCAGCCCAAGCATGGCTACTGCAATGCCCTCAATAGATGTGAGGAATCGATCTAGATTTGGTGTTTCTGTGGCAATGCATCCACAGACCACAAAGGCTGGAAAATCACACCAATGGATGAAATGGACAACAGAAATAAACAAGTTTATCATCTGTACTTACTACATCATCACAAGACTCGAAACAAACATGACAGCATACAGACAACAACTACATTATAGATTCACGAAACAATATCCTCACCTCACTGTTACCAAACAAAGGGTTGTTGATCAAAAAAGAACAATTATACACAACAACCTTATCCCACAAACAATACTTGAACTTATCAGGCAATAGGTTGCTGATCAAATACATCAACAGACAGAAATACTTAACATTAATGAAGATCACGTAACCTGTCAGGATAATCCAGCAACAAGCATTGATAATAACACACATACAACAACTACAACTAATGATACTACAGGCACTTCCTCATCTATCACTGATAATGTAGACATAGAATTAGTTAATATGCTCTCACTTATATTTCAGGAAACACTCACTAAATATACTGGTACAGATCCCACACAAAGACCACGAATATCGAAAATCAACACGTCAAAGGTAGTAGGAAAAACACTAAATTATGTATACACTCACTTACTACCAAACTACATTCATTCAATTTCTACATTCTCAGACATTCATACATTAGTTTATACTAGGGCAGTCACAGTAGTAACACACCATGGTCTGAAAATACAATCACAGACAGATACACACAAAACACAATTCTATCACAAGCCTGTCTGGCAGAGAAGTATAGAAACACAAATAAATGACATTAGACAGCAATTAGGCAGGCTGACACAATACACTAAAAACAACATATCACCCAAATTAAAGAAACAACTCAAAAACATTTTCAAGAAAATCAAAACACACACAAAACATAAACATCACAACACACATATTACAGAATACATCGATACGCTAAAACAAAAACTCGCAGCCAAAGCACATAGACTCAAACGATACAAAACATGTACACTACGAAAACAACAAAATAAATTATTCACAAACAATGAAAAACTTTTCTACAGACAAATCAGTACCAAAACAAACACTGATACACAGCACAGTGGCACACCAACAGAAGAAGAACTCACAACTTACTGGTCTTTTCTTTGGTCCAGTACTGTTACACACTATGCTGATGCAGGCTGGATCGAGGAGGAGAACAGAAACTTGCAGAACATACCAACTATGCCCTGTGCTGAAATAAATGTACACGACATCTGCTACGTTGTTAACAGAACACACAACTGGAAGACACCTGGTGTAGACAATATTCACAATTCCTGGTACAAAAAGTTTACATCACTGCACCAGGAACTAGCTAAATACCTAACACACATCATCATCAATCCACAAGACATGCCAAAATTTCTTACTCAGGGCATCACCTACATGAAACCTAAAAACAACACCACCACAGACTCCACACAATACAGACCAATTACATGTCTTCCAACACTCTACAAATTATTGACATCCTGTATCACAAACAAAATATACAAATATGTTGAAGAACACGACATTCTTACAGAACAACAAAACGGTTGCTGTAGAAATCACAGGGATGCAAAGAACAGTTACTCTTAGATTCAGTCATTCTACGGCAAGCACACAAACAACACAGAAACATACACATGGCATATATAGACTACAGAAAAGAATTCGACAGCGTTCCACACAGTTGGCTGCTACATATTCTACACATGTACAAAATACATCCATCACTCATTGCATTCTTCCAAAACACTATTCAGCACTGGAGAACAACACTACATCTCAAGGTTAGTAACACTTCCATACAAATAATAATATTTGAATATTTAGTTTGCCTAATGAATATTTGGTTTATTTACCAAATATTCATTAGGCAAGGAATTTTTCAAGGAGATTCCTTGAGTCCTCTCTGGTTCTGCCTAGCCCTGAACCCATTATCCAACATGTTAAACAACAAGCAATATGGCTACAATATCAGACAGGAAAAAACAACATAGTTCACGCTGTCACATCTCATGTACAGTACATGGACGACATAAAACTTTATGCATCCACACAGAAACAACTTCATGAACTCCTACAAATCACACACTCATACACCAAGGACATACAAATGAAGTTTGGCTTAGACAAATGCAAAAAAACTTCACATAGAAAAAGGAATCCTGAAGAAAGAAGAGTTTGCACTTGGAAATGGAGATGTTATTGAATCCGTGGAAGAGGGCGAGTTCTACAAGTATTTAGGATTCCAACAAGCCAAACTAACAGAACATACACAAATAAAGCAAAGATTAATTAAAGAATACCAATGTAGGTTAAATGCTATCTTCAGAACACAGTTAAATGCAAAACACACAGTTAGAGCAATAAACACATATGTCATCCCAATACTCACATACTCTTTTGGAGTTATACATTGGACTCACACAAATCTCGAGCAACTCCAAAGGAAAACAAGAACAACACTTACTAAGCATAAACAACATCATCCTAAATCCGCCACAGAAAGATTAAACCTTCCACGTAAAGATGGCGGACATCGTCTGATTGACATTATAAACCTTCAGTACAAACATATACAGTCACTGCGAGAGTTTTTCTACAAAAAACCAGAAACATCACAGTTACATAAAGCAGTAACTCTAGCAGACTCAAATAACACACCACTAAACTTACACTCAGATCATACAGACATGACACAACATATAAAAAGCATAGACACCATTACGCAATCATGGGCTCGAAAGGCACTCCATGGTAGGCATCCTTAAGACCTGGCCCAGGATTTTGTTGACAAAACTGTGTCAAACAGCTGGTTAGATCGGAGATGCCTCTTTGGGGAGACAGAAAGATTCATGATTGCCATACAGGATCAGGTCATAAATACTAAAAACTACAGAAAACACATACTCAAAGATGACATACTCACAAGTGACACATGCAGAAAATGTCACATCACGCCAGAAACTATACAACACATCACTTCTGGTTGCAAGCTCTTGGTACACACAGATTATTTACATAGACATAATCAAGTAGCAAATATAATACACCAAGAGCTTGCAAAAAAGCACAAATTATTAGATATCCACAAACCATACTACAGAAACCTTCCACAGACAGTATTGGAAAACAACACACACAAACTGTACTACGACAGAGCCATAATCACAGATAAAACAATTTACCATAACAGACCAGACATCACACTCATTGACAAACACAATAAAACCACATACATTATAGACATAGCCATTCCAAACACTCACAATGTACAAAACACATGCACTGAAAAAATTAGCAAGTACACAGAACTCACCCAGGAAATAAGGCATCTGTGGAGGATGGATAGGGTGCTTATTGTACCTGTCGTTCTCTCCTGTACAGGTGTGATACCATACACACTACACAAAAGCTGGAAACATTAACAATTGAATAGAAATACATACATCACACTATAGAAGGCCACTATATTGAATACATGCCATATTGTTAGAAAATTCCTGAATACAGCCCAAATGGTTAGGAGTTAAATGTTGAAATTTGGTACACAGTTAGGGTACATCATGAGAACGTACACTAAGAAGGAATTTTTCGAAATTCCCCCTCCCACAGGGGAGAGGTTGTTAACACTTCTCTCCGGGGAAAGTGTTAACAATGGAAGTGTTATGAGAAAGCGACGTGCAAGATTTACAGGCACAGATGCAGTTTTTTGCGGGAAATCAAACATATTTTTAGACCCATCTAAAATTTTTTAAATTAGTCTAGAAACAGGGGGACCTAATTCTTGCATTCTGTGAAAACAGGTGTAAGGAACCAAGTCTGAGCATTATTTTTATTTACTTTCATTTTTGCGTTTTATTATATTTTTGTTTGGGGCTTATGTTTTGTTAGGACGAAGGTTTCCTCACCATTCACATTAGAAACTTAAAAATAGAAGAGAGACCAACTCACCAACGAGAGAAAAGCGCCGTAGAAAAAAACTCGCACACACTTGCGCTCCTGAGCGGAAAAAATAGGTCCGCACTGAGAAAAGGGGGGAGACCCCACAAGCACAACTTAGGTACTCGCTAAACCTTAAAGAATAAAAACATCCCAAGAATTGTCAAAAAGAATAACGTAAAAGGTTAGCAAGTACTGTCGGAAAAATAGGCTGCCAGACAAATATAAAAAGTTTATTGTTAGCAAATAAGTATGAAAATGAGGGGAGTGATCGCATTCAGAATTGTGATGTCACCTCACAGTATAAAGACTGAACCTCAAGTGAAGACGGACAGGGTGAGCTTCGTAACAGTGAACAAGAGAGGTGTCCAATAGGATCAAATAGTTCCAAGGCGATTTTGAAGTTATTCGATTTGTGGATCGACAAATAGAGAAAGTCTTGAGAGTTGAGGAAATAGGTTCCTAGTATATTGAGGTGATGATTAGGATCTTTAATTCATAAGAATTATTGTATATAAATTAAGTCTTTGATTTTGTCAAATTCCAAAGGGGAATAGAATTTAACTTAGAAAATAGATTGAATTGAGTTTTGTCGGGTTGATTCTTATTGACTTTCATTGAATAAATTGTTATTTGATTTTACTAAATTTTGTAAATAGTTATTACTTGAAATTAATTAAATATTTGATTTGTTATTGACAAACTTTGTCATTATTTAATTTCGGTGCATGCTAAAAGTCCAGACCTGGCACGTTAACACGAATCCGCATAAAGTACCCGTTAGGTAACGGCTATTTCTGGCACACAGTCGTGTCGATAATCGTTGTAGAGGGCGAAAAAATAATATAGTACACAGGTAAGATTGGTTATAATGTAATAATCTTAATCTTCACTATTCTTACTTTTTGCATGAGCAATGCTGGGCTTACCTGCTAGTTATTAATATGGATTGTGTATTACTTTTAAACAGTCATAACACAGAGAGAAAGATATGATTGTTTTATATTCCAATGTATTTTTTTTCTTTTTTTGACAATTCTAATTTGATTGATTTAATTTTGATTAAAATAGATTTAAATTTTACACTTACATGATGAGTCAGTTCAATATGTTTCAAATCTCTCTGCAATTGTAGAGCTTCAAATGCTTGTTTTTGATATTGTTCCTTCAAAAAACAATTCACAATACATTATAAAAAATAAAGAACATGTAATAAATGTTTTAAGAAAGTTGTGATTTTTAGTTTAATTTATTTTTAACCAATTATTTTATTTGAATGTTTATATACAACATGTATTTATAATGTTACATTTATTCAATATTTTTTTTGGAAAACGAGTATTTTAAGATATTAGTCCATAAAGTAAAAATATTCTAATGCTAAACAGATTAAAGGAGTCAAAATTTTTATTGGATTAAACATTTTTCATCCTGGGTAATTATGTTTTTATCTAGGTAGCACTTGTCATACTCTCATAACTAGATTAAGAAAGCATAAGAGGGATTTAAAGGAAGAATGGGTATTAAAAGGAAGAATGGGTATTAAAAGGGAGGATTTAAAAACAGAACATTCCATTTTTGTTACCTAATGGAGACATTTTGTAAATGATGAAAATGAGTTTTTTGGTGTTAATTAAGACTCTTTTTAATAACACCAATAAACATTACTATTATTAAAAAGACTCTTAATTAACACCAAAAAACTCATTTTCTCTAAATATTAATTTTAATTAAACAATTAATCTAATCTTGCAACTTATCTCCATTAGATAATCATTGTGACATTCTTTTATGGTTGTGAAAAAACTTTAAATTACTTTTATTTTTAAATGAAAAAGTACTTTTCATTTAGAACATTATAATTTTCTTTCTTTTTCTTTTTTTTGTAAGCATTCTAGATTTATATTTCTGAAGACAAATGGTAAACATAAAACTGTTCAGATTCTTTTTATATTCGATTAAAGCATTTTTATTGTTCTTTCCTTTTATAAAGTTAGTGAAAAAGAATACTGTAAATGTAATTACCTCTTCTAATAATTCACATATCATTGCCAATTGATCCTGTTCTCTACCAGATAATATACTATGTATTCTTTCATCATCATCATTCATGGAGCTAAAATATAAAAAATAAAATGAATTTTAATTAAAAATTGCATATATAAGGCATCTGTGGAGGATGGATAGGGTGCTTATTGTAGCNTTGTATGATAAATGAAACATTTTACTGTATATTTGATGTTTTGAATTAGTAAGATTATTTTATTACTTGTCCATTTTTATATATTTTAATTGAGTTTTGCATTTTTGTTATCAATGATGATAAACTATTTTAAATACAACTACTAACAGGGTGTTAACAATGTACATGCAAAAAAATTTCCAAAATTTGCATATTAAGAGCTTGTTGTGTTGTTTACATTCCTTTTTCTTTTACTGTATATTATTTCATTTTGCTACTGAAAAATAATTTTAAATTAAACAAGATTGTAAAAATCTGTTTAAATTTGTATTTTTGTATTTGTTTTATTTATTTTTTTTAGGTCAAGACTACAAGGGTTAATTCTTTTATTTAATTTCTTGAAAAAGACTGATTGTCTTGATTTATTATATAGGAGTGTGTTAGAAAAGTTTGTATTCTTTTTTATAACATGTAAAGGATTGAAAGAAAATTATATATAAATTATTCTGTCTAAAGACTATATTTGGACATTTTAATTTTCTTTCAATGGTTACATTTTATAAGTAAAGCATTATTCATTTTTATTTATGATTCACAACTTTGCCCATCTTTAGATTGCAAATTATAAATGTAGATCACAATGGTTAAATAACTTGCACCCCTTAGCAATAAACAATAAACTAATATTACAGATGTTAATTCATTGCTAAATAAAAAATTAAACTATAGTAATGATATAGGATATTGCACAACTTTGTTGTATTGCAATAGAATTAAGGCTGAGCTGGAAAGAAAGAAGTGTTCCTTGCACTTATTAGACACAGAAGAGGCAATCCTTGTACAGTACCTGCTGGCCATGGGAGACACAATCCTTACACTGGCCAGTACAGAGAGATGATCCAAGAATGAAGCAATTGCCATCAATTGTTTTGTTCTTGTGGTTTGTTCATTTTTCACACCTATTTTTCATTAGGTGCACACATTGCTGTTTTTATTTTTACCCTTAGGCATGCTCAGTCATATGAAAGAATACAGACATTGTCACTTTAATCTCTGTATATCAAAAACAAAGTCATGGACTCCTATTTTTTACATTTAAATGGACTCTTGTTACATTTTTGGATTCCTCACTGCAATTAATGGAAAATGGCAAAGTTTTATCAAAATCAGCCCATTAACTTTTGAGGATGAACTAGATTCTATAAGCCATAGAAGATGTGATAACAATCATGGAACATTGCCTGACATCACTTTGTTGCATGCGTTCATGAAACAACCGAATATCTCAAAAATGAAGTCATGGATTCCCATTTTTTTTATATTACACTTATGGATTCTTCATCACAATTAATGAAAAATGGCAAAGTTTAATCAAAATTAATTGAACAAATTTTGAGAATGAACACAATTCTGTAAGTCACATAGAAGAGGCTTCACTAACACTCAACCTCAATTAATGAATGAAATTATTATTTTTAAATATATATATTATTTATTTAATCATAATCAAGAATAATATCGTTTTGAAAAATAATTTTAAAATAAAATTAAAAAATATTTAATGAAGAACAACCTTTTTTATCTGTTATGAGATATTGTAGAAAACAAAAGGAGTAACTAAAAAAATCCAGAAATGAGTTGCATAACTTTCCTATTATGAGATCTTACTAAAAATAACTTTTATAAGTTTAATTACAAAATAACTTAATAAAATTGTGTATGGTGTCATCTGTTATGAGATTTTGTTATAAAAACGTTTTATACTTTTAATTACTATAAAATGGCAAAAAACTTAATTTTGAAGGTAGGGATGAGTTTTATAAAAAAAGAATAAATGTTAATAATGAGTAAAATCATCATTAAGTCTGACCTTACTGGAGATAAACAAGACCCCCTTGACCTTTAACCACCAAAATTTAATAGCATTAATGCCCCTCATATATAAGCCACCATGCCAAATTTTGTTACTTAATTTTTACCCCATCCTGAGAAATTAAGCAAAATAGATGCTAATATACACATCCATGAAAGTTTTTTGACTTCTTTGGATTCAGCAGATTTCCAAACATGGAGATTTGCAAAAAACTGAGAGGATCAAATTTGACATGATTCCAATATTTTTCCTTGTTATGTATACATAAAAGCCAGGACAGTAAAATTAAATGGAACCAATGTTTATTTGCAGGTTACTCTTTATTGTTGTATTTTTAAAATAAATGTATTTAAGCAAATTTTAAACAAATATTTTATTAAATATATTTTTAATAATACATTTTAATAATAATATTTATACATTTATAACTAGGTGTTTGTTATTTATATATGAAGACAATTGAACGTGCTGCTTTTCCTTCTAAACTCTGGGAGAAAGTGAAATTATCAAAAAATTATGAGAAAGCTCTTGAACAAATTGATCAGCATTTAATCTATTGGCCAAGATTTGTTGTTCATAAATGTAAACAAAGATATACAAAAATCAAACAGTATTTGGTTCGAATGAGAAAAATTGCACTCGGAAGACAGTAAGAAATTTTTAAATTTAAAAACTAAATTTTTAAAATATAAAGAGGATGATATTACAGAGTATCAAGATGTATATTTTTCTAGTCACGTTGAGCATATTTTATCCTCATATATAATTGAGGAAAATTTAATGAATGTGTTTGATACAATTTTAAACTATAATGAAGAATTTATGAAATATGGATCAGGGTGGATACTGAAAGAAATTTTATTTATAGATGTCAATATAGGAATATATAAAAATGAGATTGGAGGATGTGGTAATATTATTCTTCCCAAACATTTAGTTAATAAACGTTGTGTGCTAAATATAAAATGTTCAGACAATTAATTTTTATATTTTTAAGTCATTATTATATACTTTGCCGTTTTTGAAATTATTGGCAATTTACAATTTCACAAAAAGAAAAAATACTACTACTAGATAAATATTTGGAAGAGTAATTGTAGTTTTTTTTTTCAACTCTTTTCAGATCTTCAGTGCATACTCAATTTAATTTTAGATCTTATCCAGAATTTGTGTTCAAATCTTGTATTAAACAGAAAATGGACTTATATGAATGAATTAATAAGGAATTTTTTTTGGTCTGAGACATATCAGTATGCTCTGCAGTAAAAGATCTGTGTTCTTAAATTCCCTTGTACTCATCATCAGATTATACTATTTAAAAATCTTAAAAACTTTATAGCAGAAATAAATATCCTCATTCACTGCAAAATCTTTTGACATATCTGTATCAAATAAGTTCTGCAAGATAAGTTTAAAGGATTATAAATTGAGTGTTTGATTTAAATTCAAAAAGGTTCAAATTATAGTTGACTTTGGAGATTCATTCTAAATGGATTCATGTACTCAATTAATAATTACAGAAAATAAGTATACTCATTAAAATTATAGATTATTTTTTCCAATTAACAGTTACATGTTTAAAAAATTTCAAAAACAGTTGAAACTTTTGATTAAAGATATCTTATTTTTTTCATGCCATATTAATGTAAGAAATTACTTAAAAATCTGGTTTAAATTATATAATTTCAGATTTGCCATTTAAGAAATTTTAATAATTAGAATTATTTGATTCATTAATTTTGGAAAAATCTAAAGAAATGGATTTTGAGCCTAAAATTCTTGCCTACTGGATGTTACCAATTTATCAACTATTCTAATTGTTATTAAATTAAAATTTCTAGCATTAAAATAGCCTGGAAAAAGTTAGCACTGTTTGATTATTTATCTATTAATTTATATATATATATTGATATTTTAGAATAAATTGTGGCTTTCCAAATTTAAGACCAGTGTGAAATTAAAATAACCTTAAGCATTGTGCTTAAAAGTTGTATAAAGAATGATTTTGCTTACACTCTACTTTTATATTCATAAAAATTGAAATCTAAGTGAACAAACATTTCATAATACTGTTTGTATTATTAAATTGTATTACTTTCTCAGCTGTTACATATAACAGAGCAAAAGTATGGAAATTAGTCAAAAAATGATCTGAGTTTTTAATTTTTGGACTTGGGACCTTGAAACAAGAATAAAAAAAATTGAGGGTTTCCTCCTCTCTCTCGAGGGGAGCACAGTTTTGTTCACCCATTTTGAAGCTTAATTCCTGTGTACCTTGTTGAAAGTTTGATACTATTAAATTTTGGTGGTTAAAAGATGGGTAGATAGAGTGCAGGTCATGTCATATCTCAAGTAGGGTTGGACTTAATGAAGATTTCATTTGTTATTAGCATTTACAATTTATTATAAAAATCTTCAAAATTAAGTTTTTGCCATTTTATAATTNTCATAAATTCTTCATTATAGTTTAAAATTGTATCAAACACATTCATTAAATTTTCCTCAATTATATATGAGGATAAAATATGCTCAACGTGACTAGAAAAATATACATCTTGATACTCTGTAATATCATCCTCTTTATATTTTAAAAATTTAGTTTTTAAATTTATTAAAAATTTCCTTCTACAAACAAAATTATCATTAGCTAAAATATTATAAATTCTAGCTGTTATTTTTTCGAAAAAGACAGATGGATCAATATTTTGTAAAATAATTGCCCTATAAGTTTTAGCATATCCTCTAAAAGCTTTTTTCCTTAATATAAAATTAAACATTTTTACATCAGAGGCATTCTTATATCCTTAATATTAATATTAAACATTTTCATCTAAATGTTCATTCATTGCATCAAATGCTTTCTTATAAAATTTTATATCCTTAACATTAATATTATATTTGTTAGGTGGATAGTTCCCTTTCATTTTGGTTAATGATATATATGTGTTAGACTGGAATTCCACAATCTGCATGAATTGATTTTCGCATACTTTAATTTTAAATGGGCGAATTTTTAAAGAATTGTTGTTATCTACAGATAGGTCTAAGTCAAATTTTTGCT